AAATGTTACTTTAAATCAATTTAGATCAAATGCAGAAGGAGAAAGATCTTTCTCCAGATTAAAATTGATAAAAAATTATTTGCGTTCAACAATGAATCAAGATCGTTTGGCATCGCTGGCACTTATGTCTATTGAATACGACATTTTGCGTAGTTTGGAATTCGACAGCATAATACAAGATTTCGTTGAATCCAAAAAAGTAATATATTAGATCATAAGATTCTGCAAAATAATTTATTACCGAAAAATATTATATTTTTATTTGTATCTTCATAATTTTGTGCAAAATACACTTGTTGTTTTTAAAGCTAAATTATTCTTGTCAACAAATTTTTTTCTCCCAAGTTTTTCGTAGGCCCTAGGCACGTGCCTATAGGTTAATCTGGCCCTGGCTAAGTCCCACCGAGTACATGCCTGTGAAATCGTCCTGTAGATATTTTCCACTTCAATAACTCTTTTTGTAATTAATTATCAAATATATTTTCTAAACTTTCCACGGCGTTTCCTTTTGGAACTACGTTTAATGCAGTTTTCAGTTCCATAAAGTTTTCTAACGCAAAAGTTTTGAATCTATTTGAAAATCAAGACAGTAACGTACTACTTCCTCCTTCTGTGACTGTCCACAAACTAAAGGTGAAAGATAGCAATCGCAACGCTCGAATACCCCATCTGGGGAGAAGACCGTTTCCATGCCTTTTGGTCCCTTCCTGCCTCTCTTCCTTTTTTCAGTTATATAGGAATGTACTACGATATTTTTCCCTTTAATATTTTTCGTATTTAATTGTTAAAAATATTTCGTAAAATTTTCTGGACTCTTTCTTTTAGAACTATGTTTAATGTAGTTTACAGTTCCATATAGTTTTGTAACTTAAAAGATTTTAATCTATTTGAAAATCAAGACAGAAACTAACTTACTTACTTCTTCTATGACTCTCCACACGCTATTGGTGAAAGCATGCAAAATGTTGCCATAGGTAGAGAGTTCTGCTCTACGCCATTTGTAGTCCATTTCGATCACCAATAGATCTAGTTCTGCTCTGCGCCACTTATATACCATTTCAGTCGCCAAATGAATGAAATGCCATAACTGTGATATTTACCATAACACAAGAGTGCTAAAGTTCACTAATGGATCAGCCAATTTGAAAGAAATTGGTAAACTATTTTTTCAGCAACAAAATTTTAAAAATTAAACAGATAAATTTTATTAGGATGCGCTTTACACTTAAACTAGTTTGGAAACACAGTGATCAATGACATATGCTTTTAAATTGGAGTGCCCACTATCACTAAACTAGATGTCAATGTAAAATTCTCTAATGAAGTGTTTTATAATAATGTATCTACTCAGGGGTCTGTTTAGAAAAAATTTGGATCCGTTAACGGATTCTTCACAAAATATCTTTTCATAAAAACGGATTCTTCACAAAATAATTTATCTTTTAATCGAATCTTTCACAAATTTGTTTATCTTCATTATTGTTTTGCTAATCGAATAAACCCTTCCCAGGGCGGGAANTTTAAACAATAGAAAAAGGGAGGTGAAATACGGTTCCAGACAAACTAAGTTTCCCTAAGTTTAAATTCAAAATGTAGTATTATAAGAAAATATTTCCACTTTTACAAACACCGTGTGCACATTCGTATTAATATTAAATCATGATTTTTTTTTTTGTAAAAAAATAATTGATCAATTTATATTTATTCATAGAATTAATTACTAGAATATTATGTAAATAAAAATTAATTTCTGGTCCTTTTTTTAAATAAAATATTATAAATTTAAGAATTGTTTAAGTTTACATAATGCGTAACACATTAAAAGTGATACATTGCTAAGTTGTGTTATTTAAAATATGTCAATTGAAATTGTTAAAAATGTGAGTGATTTGTTGCCATTATTCGTCCAAAATGAATATTCTGTGTTGAGCAGTATAGGCTAAATATTAAATATTTGTATTTTGCATCTCTAATTTAGTAGAAGCAGTTGTTGAGCAGAATCTTGTATCGATTTACAATTTAAAAACTTCTTGATGAGGTTTTTTGAAATAACAGGATCCTATTTGCACAAATTCACAAAAACAGGACCCTGGTTGAAAGAATGTGACTCAACGCTTATTTTATATTCACAAATTATGAATAGTTTTTTCACAATTTTACAAAAACAGGACCTTTCACAAAATGTCTGGACAAACCCCTGTTATTAATCTTATTTGCGTGAAAAAGGTGGTAGGAAAAATTTAAGATATGCAGTAAATAAAATAAAAAAGTATATTCTTTCAGCTGGAATTACTGACCTTTCTGAAAAAGCTGCCCATACATATAAATTAAAAGACTTGTCCGTCTCCAAACTACAGTCCTTGCCATGGAATTCCAGCTAATTTTTCTTATTAGATAGATTTTGCTGAGCAAAAACTGAACACCAGCTGGTGTTCAGATTTTGTAATAAAAATAAGATGGAAAACTGTAATGGTTTTCTGCATTGTCAAAACATTATCAGCACATAATTTATTGTAATCTAGTGTCGCATCTGTACATCATTATCTAGCACAAAATAAATTTAGCAAAGCAAGATGAGGAAATTTTCAATAGGTAGATTGAGTAGCTACTATACCTTTGGTTGTAATGAATATGTTAAACTAATGTCAATGAAGTTTTCCTATATAGAATTGACATTAGGAATTACAGATGGTCACAAAGTAATATTACACTGAGATCAAACAAATTTGATATCTATTGATATTGACTTTTGCCACTGTCTTTAAAGAAAACATAAAATTCAGAAATTTATTTAATAAAATGTTGTGAACTATATTGTAATGATTACTTTGCGATTTCAAAGATAACTTGTAAAGATAAAGTGTAATATGTGTTTAAATGATTTTGATATCATTTTATTTCTAGTTTTGAATTTAAGCTTGATGTTTTTTAGAAGATGAAAAAAAAAATCATAACAAGCGTTTAGTTTTAGCAATACAAGGGTCGAAATATATTTACATCCACAATTACATGAAATATTCCTTTTTACAGGAATACTTCATATAATAGTAGTTCTAGGATAGTGGGATAACACAGAAGGTGAAGTTTATATTTAAAGAATTTATTAATAACAAGTAATTCACATAAAATAGCATTTTTTTTATTAAAAAAAGAAAATAACAAAATAATTATCCATTAACCAGTGGGGTACAAAGTAAACCAAGATATTAAATGTATTTCAACAAAATGAATTTAACAAATGTAGATAAATAAATATAGCATGTATAAATACGCAAATAACTACACGTAGTTAATAGAAATATACAATACATATTTCATACACTGAACACTCAAAGAAACGATGAAAATATAATTAGAAAAACAATAAAGCGGATAAGCAACATTTATAATTAAATAATGTCAGTGGTGACCAAACAGTGTATTGTAGCAAATCAATTTAGTAAATATGCTTATGTGAATGTATATACATATATAGTATTTTTATTTTAAATATTTTGACTCATAAACCAAAGTACTTAAAACATAGATTTCTTACTACAAAGTAATGTCACTCTTATTACAAAAATACTTCACGTTTCAACATAGTGAATCATCAACCAAATATTATGAAAGCATATTCTGCAAAATTTTAAACTTAGTGTACACTTCATAAAAAAAAATTCCATAAGCTAGACAAGAAAAATAAGTTGGTTATAACAAGAAAGAGATAACCTTAAAAAAAACAGTAATAAAAATATTTTTATCAAGAATATTCAAAAAATGATTTGGTGAATAGATTAAAATTTTTTACTAATAGTTCAATATATTGCTTAATATTAATACCATTACAAAATATAGATTGCATGATTATTTTGTTATTATTATTTACACACGCACAAAGAGAAGAGGGATGATGAAAAATTGGGTAAAAAAGTTTATATATTGCATGAAAAAGTTTATATATTGCAAAAAAGTTTATATATATTTTAAAAATTGACACTTACAAGATGAACTACTAGTAAAGATGTGTAATCTTTACATGTTCTTTTGATACAATTTCTCAACAATACAGCTCACAATACTTACTATTGTTTGTTTTATGGTTCACATTCAAAATTTTTTCAGGCTTTTTATGCTTCTAAACTCTAAATTAATTGTGGATATATTCAGCAATATTTTATGCTCATCTTAGTCGTTTTTATCATTATCATTGGGAGCAGGGATTAAATCAGATATTGAAAATATTCCAAAGTAATATTATGTGTGCTGCAGCTGATATACGCACCATCCATTTCGGAAGATTTTCAGACGTGCAATATTATTCCGAAGGGTCAATGTCTCCCCTGGCACCCGAGAGGCAATCAACAATACGAAGCTTTATTAAACTTATTTGACTCGACATTGTTCATCGCTGTGAAAATCAAATTCAGAGTTTCCAGAAATTTATTTTTGCTTCAAAAGCATCTTACACCCCCAGGTCATCGGAATCAAGAAAAAGAAATGATTACCTAACCATTTGTTTAGTGTAACATTCTTAAAATGATTGGATGATTACAAGACTCAAAGATTAAAGTTTGCTAGAATAAATTCCATTCGCAAATTTTATAATTTAAGTTCCCATACTTTCTTTCTCCTCTCATAGACAAAAGGACAATAAGATAGAATAGAAAGAATGTGAGAAAAGCTACAAAAAGCTAATAAACAAGTCTCCCTTTCTTTAGAAAAGAAAACAGTTTTGTGAGAGTTTTGTAGAGAAAAAATTATTTTGATCTATTAAAAAAAAAGGAAAAAAAAATTTGAAAAAAAAAATTTCTGAGCAAGATCCAAAATTACAAAAAATGAAGATTGCAAGGAATGAAAGTTGTAATTTACCTGATAATTTTTAAATAAAGAGGAAATTAAAATGCAAAGACATATATTGTTGTAGCTGCCTAAAGTAGATGCTAAAGTACAGTATTCTCGAGAACATTTGTGGCACAAAATATTATATCACTGGTCTTCTAAAAAATTTCGTTTTAAAAATATTAAAAAAATATCAAACCATAAAAACAATAAAAGTAATGCACAAAACACATAAAAATATTTAACATGACAAACATATATGCATAAAAAATTGGATACATTTTATTAAACTTAAGCAATAACAATTGAAGACTCTAGCATAAAAAATGACAACCCACATTTTAGTAAAATTTCACTTTCCTATGGCAAATGATTATATCAAACAAGAATTTTCAATTTGCTTAAGTAGTACAAGTCTTTGTTAAAAGTCGGCGACACAACTTAGGTTTACTTTCATTAAAAGCAACACATCCTTGCAAAAATATGAAAATATAGAAACTACAAAAATCTCAGTTAGTACTTTTTACCTCCCACTCTTTAATTTAGAATATTAATAAATAAAATAGATAAATCTTAATTTAAAATTGCTACACCACAAATTTGACAATAATTCAATTCACAGTAAAAATTAGATCATGAATATAACATTCTAAATATTATAAAACTAAAACTCCTATAAAAATGAAAAATATACATTGCAGTAAATTTTTTAATAACTGTAATGGAAAAAAAGAGGAATAGTTTTCAAAATATCACATACTATAAGTTTTTTTGTGAAAACTTTCAGAGTTTTAAGAAACTTTAAGTAACAACTCCTTATGAAAATAAACAATATTTCAAAATGTATCTTGAAGAAACAAGACATTTTAGTGCACTAAAATTCACCAACAATATCCATACTTTTAGCAGACATTACACTCATACAATTTTTTTTTAAAGCATAGGAAACATTAGTTTTGTTTTACAATTTTTTTCCCTTAAAGTATTTTATTTTTCAATATAATTCAATGAATGAAAAAAATAAAAAATGCATAAAAAAAAAACTTTTAATACATGTGTTGAGCTATTGTCTATCAAAATTAAACTCTAAGGTCAGTTGTAATCAAAAATTTGCCGTCTTATAATTATCAAATATGGCACTAAGGTTAAAAAATTTTCTACCAACAAACTTTTGGGAAAAAAAAAAAATTATTAAACAAACTATTAGTTTCAAAATCACTCGTAAAAAATTTATGATTTGGAAAAATTATTGCTTGGTTGAAAATACAATTATTGCACAATTTTTAGATTTTCCTTTAAAAAACAAATTTTTCGGACAAAAATATGTTTTTAAAATAAGTAATAACATTATAAAAATATATTATCACATAAAGTTTCATAATTACGAATCAAAACAAGGCCACATAGGTGCAATATCAACATCAAAAACAGTTTCATCTGTTGCTTGATCACTTTGAATACATTCGTTTACCTCTGAGGACACATGTTTGTGGATTATCAGCAAAGACTCCAAGAAAAAGCCGAAACCTGTAAAAGTTGATCAAAATAAGTAAGATGAGAAAATCAGCAAACAGTCTATTAATTTGAAAATAAAAAGTAAATACAGCGAAACCTCGGTTAAGTGGACATTCTTGAGACCGAAAAAATTTTCCGTTTACGGGAAGGGCACCCTAATAACGAAGTTTAACACCATGAATTTTTTAAGAATATTTTAAAGGATATAGAAATAGTTAAATAATCTACATTAACTATCTACAACGATATTTATTTAAACTTTAAAAAATATTTTTTTCTATACAAAAAATAGTATATGAAAAAGTTTGATATAAATACATAATTCTAGATATCGCTACAGATAAATGAATATAATTTTCCTTTTAGCAGAGATATTCGCGTTGGTCATATGATACCAAATATGAGCTCAGTCGGTTTTAACCCGCTAACCCCTACCTTTAATTAGGTACAAAATGTGGTTAATACCTACCTGAAAATAAACCTCCCAAGATGTACAGGAAAAAAAAGCAATGCATGGGTGCCCTGTGTCAGAATTCTTTCGAGCTATCAGCGACAAAATTCTAGCTCTAATACCTTTAATGCAAGATACTTTTAATGATAAGATACTTTTAATGCAAGATACTTTTAATGATAACAAACATATACGCTTCTAATTTAAAATAACAAAAGCGCTGTGTTAACAACAAAACAAAACATAATAAAAATCACTATTTATTTATTTCTTCTCAACTAGTAAATAATCATCACAATAAAAAATAACAATAATGAAATCTGTTGCCGAAAAAAAGATCGACGACGAAATCCCCCGAATCTGACTCCTCAAAAAGGGATTACTTAAATGCGTGTTTCGTTTCGAGGTTAGGTTGTTGTAATAAATAATATCGTATAAAAATATTGGATTTAAAAACTATGGAGAAAGCAATAATTGCCGAAAATTCAATAGAATCATTGCCTTAATAAGTAAAATTCTTTACTTTTTAAAAGAAATTTTTTCTGCAAGAACTCTACAATGTTCTGCGACAATGTCGCCGCGATTCTGCCACGGAGCATGGGGACCTTTGAAGTCAATTATCCACAATTGATCATCTATCAAGTGTCTGAATAAATGTTTCATTTATATGAACAACCCAAAGATTATACTTCTGTTCTCTTTTTTCACCCCAGCTGTGTTAAATACAGTCTCCAAATTGATAAGAAAATGAGAGAAATTTTTAGTGGGGAAGTAGCATTTAAAGCATTAAAGATTTCACTTCAAATTGAGGGGTCTTATAACCTTTGTTGTCCAGATGGAAACATCAAAGGATGCCACTGTCCGAATTATTTCACAAGAGCAGTATCATTCTCTCTGCTTTCTTTGCAAAGATAAGGCAAGGTGAGAGAAGGAAGATTGATTCTTTAGTAGTGAAATAGCTTAACAATATTTTTAGTTATGGATAAGGCAAAAAATTAACAGGCTTTAAAAATGGTGAAAAGCTGCATTTTTCTTGCAATGTAATATTATTGTTTCTTTTCTCTTGAAATTTAGAAAAAGTAGTGTTCGGTTTGAAGAGATAGAAAATAACGCTTCAGAACATAAATGACTGTTCGCGTCCGGTTATGGGAGTGTCCGCTTTGCGGAGAATGTGCATAATAGTTTATTCATAGAAGATTCACGGGGATTTGAAAATATGCCGCATTGAGAGGTGTCTGTTTTGCGAGAGTGTCCATAACAGGAGGTTTCACTGTAAATAAAAAAAAAGTCTATGCTTGAAAAATTTGGCTATAATTTCATACGGTGTTCTCAGAAGTTAAAAATAAAAAAATTACAGTAACTAAAAGGAAATTTTTCAAAATACACTAATAATTCTCACTCAAAAAATCAAAGGTAAGCACGATAATTGAATACTCATAATAATAATAAATATAATATATACAAAAATAATAAATATATTATTATAAATACATCTGTTATAAAATTCATGCAATAATTCATTTTCATGGTATTTTATTTAAAAAAAATTTAAATTTTTAACTGATCCATAAAAAAATATACTAATTAATAGGTTATGTATGAAACAACTTATCAGATAATAGGGGTTTGGCTTATTCACATACACTCTTTATTTTTTTTTTTTTAATAACTGTTTTGCATAAATATGGCCGAATTTCATTGAGACATTTCATTTCAAAGCATGAGTGGGGGGCTTGTGGACGTAACTTTTAAAAAAAAAACTTTAACAGTGTTAAATTGAACAAACACAAAACAAAAAAGATAACGTTTTTCTCTTTCAAGTAGTGCTCCACTTTTAATATCTTAATTAGCTTTCAAATGTTTTCTTTTTTTTCATTTGCACAAATGGCAAATGTTTTAGCATATCACAAAATTCAAATCTTGAATGAATTTTTAAGCATCCTTTATAATTAAAAAAATATTTTAAAATTATAGTTGAACAAAAATTTTTCGGGCTTGATAACCTCCATCAAAATAGAAAAATTATTGTTACTAAAACTAAACATCTTCATTTAAAATAATTGTACTTACATTTGATCAAGATTGCCATGATCATTTAGACAATCTCTGTTTGGACGAGCAGGAGCCCTGGATAGTTCCTGTTCGTATCTAAATTTTATAAAGAAAAATGATCCTTTAGTAGCAGTTTCAGTGTCATAAAACTATGATGCAATAAAATACTTTTTGAATCAGATTAACATTTATTGCATAAGCAAGCAAATTAAGAGAATTTCACTAGTATTATATTAGTCAAACCAGATCAAAGTGGCCTTCTGTGGTTGCTTTAGACAAGTAGAAAAATAAGTAAACCATATTGAGTGAAAGTAAGTAAATTAGCATAAACCAAAGTAATCGAATATTAGAAAAAAAATGGACAATTGTATCTCAACAGTATGCCAATATTTGATTGGGATATTTGCAAAACTTACATTTCTATGCATTCATAATACATGTTTGACATTCAAAATTGTAATTCATAGCTTATTTTTTCCTCTTTTGATATCAAAGTTCAAATTAGAATAGCCACATTGAACTGACTGTATTATAAGAAATGCAGTCATGCATTTCACCCATAGATCTCAATATTATCAAAAGACCAAGTAACACCACTATTATTATCTAGAATCAAGTATACGAGCCTTACATGAAATCATATCAATAATAAATACTTACTCATCCATTTCAATTTGCAACAATGCTAATTCCAGTTTTAGATCTTTGACTTCTTGTTTTAATTTCTTTTGTTCGTCATATAACGTTTTCATTTTATCTTCATTGTTGCACTGTCTTTGTTGTAGAGGTTTATATACGTCTATCATGTTTTGCAAACTGAACTAAAGTAAAATAATTAATAGATATTTTAAATTGCTTGTAAGAAAATATAAAGATATATATAGAATTCATAGACAAATAGTATAAAGTATATTCTCATTAAAGTTATAAGAAGAAAGATATCATTATTTAGATTAAACAACTTTAGTATTTTTAAGCAGGTTTAAGCATTTTTAAGGTGATAAAATTTTAGTGAGCTATGATAATTTCAGATCACATCCCATCAGCACTCCTTAGGAAAATAAGACAAAACATACCGATGCTTTCATAGCAGGTAGTTAATCTTTTTATTTAACAAAAAAAAAAAAAAAAACTATCTGAATTATAAATTTATCAATTATTAATCTAAATTTCTCAACAAAAAAAAAACCCTTTCTTTTTTGATAGGAAAACAAAGGTAAAAGGATATCGATCATTATTCACAGCAAAGCCTCAGCCTGTTTAAATTAAATTTAAAATATTGCAAGTGAGCGTTTCATTCTGGACACAGCTAGAAAAGTGTAATTAAGAAAATGGAAATAGCTTTTGATTCAATATTTCAAACTTCTTTTATGAACATTCTTTTTTAAAAGAATGAACTAGTGAATCCCAATAAAATCATAATGTGATATTGTCCATTTGCATAAATTAAGCGTATTTTAATAATTAATAAATCAGTCTCTTTTTAAAAAAAGTCTTCAAAAGACAGAATTTGTTTTTACAAGGTTGCTGTGTATCCTATAAATTTATAATAGTGGTAGTAAATTTATTAGATAGGAATTTAGATTTTTAAAACTTTGCTTTGTAGTTTAAGAGTTCTAATTACGAATAGATCACCTGAGAAGTTAAATCTGTTATAAACCCAGTCAATCCAATCTTGAAATGGACTTTGCTCCGCAATGGTTATGCCTGGTGTTTAAATAAATGAGAAAAAGCAGGAACAAAATTACTTGCTTAGTTGTAAAATTTTAGTTGAACATTGAAAAGGTGTATTTTTTGCAGTGTACATTTTCTAAACAAATCACTCATTTTGAGCTGTACCCATTTCTTAAACATAAATATTGAGTTGTGTTCAATTCATGAAACATGCATTTTGAGATGTATTTATCTTCTTGAACACCCACATGAAACAGTGTGAAGTTTGAATAAGTTTACCGTCATAAAATCTTGAAATTGAAGTGGACTGTATATATTGCATTCTTTGTTATAAGTATTTTGCAAAACAAATCTATTGAAACTATGTTATTAACAAGGCATTACATTAATTAAATATTTTAAATAAATTACACTTATGTAAAGAAATTTCACATAATTATATTTGCTAAAAAATGAGTTTCGAGAAACTTTATTTAGGAATAATTTTCACACATATGAAATGGTTAACGAAATAGTACACTAGACTACTATCTTCCAGTATCTGGTAAATGAGCTTGGGCTTCAAAGCAATCTAAAAGAAACTGTAACAGCTGGCGAGTGATGGCAAACAGGGACAATAGACCCCTATTATATTATAAACTTTTAATGTTTCTCATTCAATACAAAAATATGAAAAGCTTACTGACCTCACATGTTTCCTCTATCGACTTTTTTAGGTCATCAAAACTATCTTCCATGTTTTGTAGTTTTTCAGTTTGAAAAGTTATTTTTTCTTCAGATTGCCTTTTCTCATCCTTATAAGCTGCAATGACTTTTTGGGCCTCTTGATAACGCAGATGTAATGAAGTGTTTACTTTACTCAGATGTATAATTTTAGTATTCATCTAAAAAAATTAAAAATAATATTTTTATAATGCAGAAAATTAAAAATGAAATCTTATTGAATAGCTCTATTCCTTTATAATATAGCATGGCCATCATTAATTGTATCTCCAATAAAGATGATTTAAAAAGTGTAGTTGAAGACTCATTCATGATTTTGGCAAATAAATACTACAAGGGCAGATAATATAAAGTCAAAAACATAAAAATATTTTGCATTTAGTATTAATCATTTGTGAATATTACTACGGCTAGAAATGCATTTTTGTTAAGCAAAAGCTTTTTTCTAAAAATTATTCATTATCTTTTAAAGTTATAATATGTTTCATTCTTTACTCGTGAAACAGATTTCTTAAACTCATTTATTTCAGACTTTGTGTTTCTGTTTTAAAACAAATATGCTTAAGCAATGAAGAAGAAGATCCTAACATTTTTAAAAATTTTATTATCGTTAAGCATGCAAGATTTTTTTGTTTTGTTTCAAAATCATTCATCATCTTTTGAAGTAATTTCAGATCTCACCCTCTACTTGTAAAACAGATTACTTAAATTCATTTATTTAAGATTTTATGTTTCTGTTTTAAAACAAATATGTTTTAAGAGCTAAGAAGGAGATCCACACATTTTTGAAAACTATTCTAGGAGTGAAATATTAACTCATCAATAATATAATACAGTCGAACCCCGCTATAGTGAACCGTCTGCGGACTCAGTAATGTGTCCACTATAACCGATGGTTCACTATATCCAAATTTTTTGAAGAATATTTTTTGCATAAGACAGTTGAATGATTGAAAATTGGCTTTGCAATTTTGCATAAGTTATTTAAAAAATTATTAACTAATTAACAGATAATAAAGCAAAAATTGATGGAAAAAGTAATTACGTCGCTAAATATTAGTTTTATTTTCACTTTTTATGAAAAAAATTTGTGATTTTTGATTGAACACAATTTGATTTTAAATTGAGTTCATCAATTTTCTTATCTACAATGTGCAAAGAATGCAAGATTTTTACATTTTGAACAAGATTTCGAACCATCTTAACAAAGCATCTTCTACGTTTTTGCTTTCAGCTCCACGCAGTTTTTTCGATGAAACCATGTTTTTGTCGTATGCCGCAAGAATTGCACTTCGATTTTTCAAAATGTTTGAAACTGTAGATTTTGACAAGGAAAATTCCTTACACAGTGTCGATTGATTGGTTCCATCATCAATACGCTTTACAATTTTAACTTTGTCCTCTATCGAAAACGCTTTTCTCTTTAGAGAATTTGCCATTTTCACTGCTTTTGAAATAAAAATCTTGTCTCAAATAGATAATGTAAGAATATGAAGAGAGCAGCTGTAGAATGAGTTAAATTGTTCCCCTTCTTGATTGTCAAGGGGTGATTTGTAAAGAATATGGTTTGAACAGATAAGAAAATTCCAAAAATTCAGCAGGTGGCCAAGTTAACTAGTTGTAGAGCAAGCTTGGGGAAAAGAGATAAAGCGAGGCTTGTCAGGGAGGGGGGAGTATAAGATAAATGATCTGTTTGACATTTATTACAGTATAGTTAAAAGTGATAAGCATAAAGGAGAGTAATATGACACATTTTATAGGAATGCATTCATTTTCAGTCCCAACACCTACAAGTTTAAAGATGGAGGACTGAAAAAGATATTTAAAGAAATGAAATTTGAGTCCACTATAACCGAGTTTCCAAGTTCTAAGCTGTTCACTATAAGCGTTAAAAATAACATTATTTAAATAGGAATACGGACGGGACCGCTAAAAAAGTTCACTACATCCGAGTGTTCACTATATCCCAGGTTCACTATAGCGGGGTTCGACTGTAGTAAAAATTTACAGCAAAAATAATTTTTTGTTTGTTTTGCCTTTATCATAAATTAATAAGGGTATTTGTAAAATAAATGAAATACATTAATAAAATTTGCTTTTAATGGTATAAAATGCATAGCATTATTCAGGTATATAAGGATTATTTAATAATCGTTCAATATTATTCTAAACTAAAAACAGAATGTTTTCATGAAAAATTTTAAAAATTAACTAAAAGAAAAAAATTTATAACATTACTTGTTACTTAATCAAACTTCTTAACATACATTAAACAAGCATAGCTACGAACAATAATAAATCAATGAAAAATATTCTTCTTCTGATTTAAAAGCTCAGTACTACTTATATATTAAATAAAACAATCATTATATAAATGAAATAAGATAAAATCTACTCACTGAATCCAAAGTAGCTTGATCCTTCTCAAATCTGTCATCTTTCTGTTTTAAATTTGACTTCAATTTGGATATAACCTTTTCTTGATCTTTAATCACAGATTTCAAAGCATGATCTAAAAAATAAATGTGCCTATATAAACGTGTTGAGAAAATTAACTTAAAATTACTGATTTTTTTTCCTCTAATTTTTTTTCTTGCTTAGAGTTTACTCACAACAGGATTGGTTAATTTGCAATAGTAAAAAGATATTTTATTTTGAAAACAGCTATATAATACATGACTTTGAGTATATTCTAAAACTGGTTTCTCTATAACTCACTAAAATATTACTTAACATGTTTTTCAATTGTGCTCTTCATATGAGATCACACATTTTTTTAAAAGTTAAATTGTATTTTTAAAGATGAAAAATTATATAGCTTTTTTCAAATTTTTATTTACTTGAATATTATAATTTTTAGCTTGCACACAATGAATTGAAAAATAAAAATTTTACATTTTTACTTACCAACTTCAAGAGGAACATCTTTCTTTTCAGCTAATGTCTGTTTCAAAATGTTATTTTCAGTCGATAGTTTATTGATGATAGTTTTCAGATTTGAAGATTCTTGCACCCAAGAGTCTTCCAGTTCCTCAAAAGCCTATAAATATGTTTTAAAATATAACCAGTATTCAGTATGTCAGAAGCTAAGAAATGAACCAAAAGATATTTTTATGATTAATTAAAAACAATAAAGATAAAAAGTGGTGTGCAGAGGTGTGTGGGTAAGCAAACTCTGTCTTTAAATATCCTTGAAAAGGTGTATAATGATTGGATGGAATAAAATAAATATCTATTTAAAAAGAAAAAAAAAACATGTATTTATATAAATTAAATTCCTAAATTTTAAATTAATTATAAAGTTAAATTATTGTAGAATAAAAAATATTCCTAATTTTTTTTTAATTGAGAAGAAATTAAACTTTTAGTGAATAAATTTAACTTATTTGAAAATCATTTTTAATTCTTTAATTCATATTTTTAATGATATAAATGTAAAATTTACTTTAGTAATAAAATAAAATAGTATTAGATTTTAATTATTATAATGTTGTTAGTCATTGATCTGATGTCTCCTTCGGCTCAAGGCCTGGAGCCGTTGCTCCTTCTCAGCAGGCTAGCGAAAATTAGTTCCTTAATATGCATGGCTTTATGCATGGCTTCAAACTTTTTTATTTAAAAAAAAAAAAAAAAAACAGAAATCTAAGAATGTTATGAAATGTAATCATTGATTAAATATTAAATTCATCATTGTTTACATATTTACATTGATCGCGTGTTAGTATGTTTCATTTCAAGTTGGATCTTACTATTTGTATAATTAATTATCTATGCATAGTACTCATCAAGGGGAGATTTCCTTATTGGTACCAGAGCCAAAATCATTACAAATTTTGGATACTTTCTGGGTAACAACTTGCAAGAAATCGAAAAAAAAAAAAAAAAAAAACACAGAAGAGCAAATCTCTATATTAAGGATGCACAATCATTTTTGGACTGTGAGCTATAAAAACTACAAAACACAGCGCTGAGGATGCAACATTAACATAATGCAGTGTTCTCCTTAAGCTTTTCTAGAAGGGTGGCCCAGCCTTAGATCCCAATAAATGTGTCCTCTTTGTCTTTTTGTAAAAATAAGCCGCCATCCCATAAAGACACTGCCTTTTTATTTATATCAAATTTTTAAGAAAAATAAATTAGCTTTTAAAATAATAATTACACAAAAAAATTATCTGTGTTTATAGATTTGATCATTATTACTATTACAAATATTTACTTTGTTAGGATTATTTTCAACTAATTAATTCTCAATTGTTACTAATACAGACTTGGATAAATGTGATGATCATCACTGAAAATTATTATTATTTAATATGTTACTAATTGATAACTGAATTTTTTTTCTTTTTAGTTTCGTTACAATAATCGATAGCTAATTATATTTCACTACAAACAATGAACCCATTGCATAAACAAAACTTTCACATTGAAATGGTTTCATTCTGTTACTTAAAGAAAGACTGTGAACTCAGGGGTCTTTTGAGAGGTACCTATTTTGTGAAAATTAAAAATTATATTAAAGCAAAACAAAACTAGGGAAAAGTAAGAAAATATTTTCATAAATTGTTACTAAAAATAAAAATCATTTATGAGTAGTAAATTTCTATACATTTTTCTTCTCATATATTCAAAAAAAGAATTTTGCTATTGTATAATTTTCAGCTTAAAAATTGTATCCACATTTAAAAATCCATAAAAATCATTGTCCATAGCTTCAACTTGAATTTAATAAACACATGCATTTAACAGTACTAGTAATATAAGCTTTTACATTATGATAACATTCAGGACTAACTCATACGGAAAAAAATTTCATAGGGAAAAAAATGCTTCATAAAAAAATTAATATAAATTAGAATAAATTTACATTAATGCTTGAATTTTGACTTCCTGTAAAGTTTACAGAGGGAAAGCCTTATTGTTTCATTTTAAAAAACTCAGAGTAATTCACCCAAGATTTATCATTTTTTTATGGGGAAACAAAATCAAAATTTTAAGAGGCACAGAGGAGAATCTTGGAACTTGCTTTTTTAAAAGTATTTCGCGTAACTACCGTTTTTCCTAAAGTTGAATTTGAGAAAAAGTACTGTTAAAGGGGGATTTGCCCTGGACAGATCCCTGGAACTATATCAGTAACATAATGCTTCGGAACACGAATTAAAAAATTGTATGCCTTTTTTAATATATTTTTATTAAAAGTAATTCAAAGGCCAATTTAAAAAGCTTTGTGGGTTACTTTTGGCTCATGGGCTATAGGTTGTGCCCCCCTGCACCAGCTCTACACATATCTTTCATTTAGATCTTTTGATTGTTTAGGTTTCTGGCCAAGAGCCAGTCTTGGCTATATCGTACCTCCAACTAGGTAGATATTTTACAACTAGGTTCACAATTCTGTTTTGGTTTAAAACTAGATGGATGTATAAACGCCAATGTCCTTAAGGTATGAGAAAATGTTAAAGTGAGGATATCTCCAATTAGTGAAAACAATGATAGATGGAAGCTACCAAAATGGCACAGTCTCTAGTTTTTAAATTAACTACACTCAATCAAAATATGTATAACAGTTAAAGGTTCTTTACAATTTGTGCATTCTGGTTCGTTTAGAAAAAGGTGTTTATGAGTTACTCGTGTGTGGCCAATACGCAAGCGGTAATCTTTAGAAGATTAATAAAAAAAATATTTGGCATGGCGATTGTAGTTGACATGATCAGGTACCAATATGAAAATATCCCATTAATATTGTGCAAATAATTTAAATTTTTAGGTTGTACTTAATTTACTAAATTTTGTAATAACTCAAAGAATTCCTAAATCATATAGAACGAGATTTCGACCAATACTGTATTATTTAATATAAATGATTGCGTTTACTTGTTTCAAACTTAAGATTTCTTCTTCTTTCATAAGTTTGTCAGCTGACAGGTGAGTGCATTTGAGTTTTAGATCAACATATTCCTTATCTAATTGCTCGGTTCTCCTAACACTTTCTTCTAATAACTCTAACACATGTTTCACCTTATTTATGAGAAGGCTAGCTTCTTCAACACCAGTAATAGCTACTATTTTTTCAAATTCTTGAAAAATATCACAGGCATTATCATACACATCTTTTACTAATAAATTTCTATCTGAATTAGACATCTTGAATATTTCGAAGTAATATTCGTGTATTTATTTAGTCAACAAGATTTTTCATTAATGTCAAATATGTAATGAAATATATAGAATCGAGAGAAGTTTTTTGAGGGTTAATATTCCTGATTTTACAAATCAATCAAAAATGATTTGCTTTTCGATAAAACAAACAAGGAAATAATAAAAACAAACAATATCAAATCACGTAGGTGAGTTGTTCTCTTCCTGAAAATAAGTTTACGTTTCCAAAAAATGAGAAAAATAATTGAAGCTAATGAGGAAGTAAAAAAAAATTTCCTCATTTCTTGCAAATGCTAGTTTTCATAATAAAATAAATCATCAAAACATTTAAAAAAATATTTAAACAATGACGCGTCGAAAGTTTTAATGGAAAAATATGTTTTTGGCAATAGTATATCTATATTATTTACTGCATGATTATGAGCCTTAGCCAATCAAATTTAAGATTTCTGCACAATCCACGAATAAGAGTGAATATTTTCAGACACACCCTTCTTATTCTATCGATTTCTTAAATATAGTAATACGGAGAAATTTATACCGAATCCAAAACAAATTAAGTTTTATATCCGTTTAGTTTTAGACAAAAAGATTTTTTAGATATTTTTTGATTGCGTATTATTGTTTACTAGTAGGTTTTATTTTTGTATTTATTATTATTAATGAAATTAATGTCTCTAATGTAGTATTGTATTAAGTGTTTATTTATAGCTAGTATCACATTTTATCAATATGTTGAAGTATTCTAAAAAAATAATAATACTGTAAGAAATTAATCTTTTCTTTCTTTTCTAATTTATAGATAAGCATTTCAAGCCGAAAGCTCTTCAAAATCGTGCTTATAAATTAGTGAATGGCAAGTTACAGAAGCGTGGCTGGAGATGAAATTTGTAAGATATTTTTTAATTTTAATATGCAATTTTTAACCTTCATTAATGAACGAAATTACTAATTTTTTAAATGAAAAATAAATTAGACACAGTTAATGTTATAATTAATAATTTTTGTAGATAATTACCTTTTATTTACTTGTGTTTATTATAAATCAAGGAGTACAAATGAGAACAAACGCTCTTTAAAAATAAGCTTAAATTTCATACATTTGTGTTTGGAATCTATCAATAACTTATTTAGTGAAATGTTTTCAGTTATTTTTTGTGTGTGGTATGTTCTTTTTGTATGTTAATTTTTGAGTTTCTAATTGTCAGATAACAAATTTATTTAGATTTTATTAATTTTTTTGAACTCCTGACGTAAGTGAAATAAAAATGCTTTTTCAAAGTTTCTGGGTTTTGTTAACATTGTTATGCATGTGGATGATTAAAATTTCCTTATTTCAGAAATAATAATTTTTTTATGCCGCATATTTTTTTTCACTATAACAATTCAAGTAATTGTATTGGTTGTTGCAAAATACAATTTTTTTTTCATTCTCTTTATAAAAATTATAATGGGTCTGTTCCATGACACAGATCTTTTGGAGCTGATCCAAATTTTTTCAACTTTTAAAAAATTTGATAGTTAAAGGTTTTTAATCCCTTAAAGGTTAATTTTTCAATTGATTTTATTCATAATTTTGATGTGAATCAGTATTTTAAATGTTTCTGTACGAAAATTAAACTGCAATAAATGGTTCAAATCTGTATTTTTCGGTTAGCTGGGTGACAAAATATTGTATCGTCTTTGCCAACTATTTTCTTTCTTTTTTTTTTAAGCTCATAAAAAATAAAAAAAATTAAAAAAACTTAAATTTCCTAAGGCTTGTCAGACTCAAAAGTTACCTTAAAATCTTAAAGAATAATAAAATACAATTCCTGATTTTTACAAACTTAGGAAATATTCTTACTGAGTGTGATTTGATCGTTCTACTTTAAGTACGTCAATCAAATTCTTATATTTGAGATCTATATTTATATGAATTTGTATTCTGATGAAAATGTGACAAAAATACTGTCAGTTCAGCGTTAGAAAATATTTTGTATTAAAATGAAGTTTGTTTTTAAAAAGTTTTAATTCTATAATACTAAATGAATTTTTATTCTGATGAAAATGTGTCAAAATATACTGTCAGTTCAGTGCTCGAAAATATTTTGTATCAAAATGAAGTTTGTTTTTAAAAGATTTTAATTCTATAGTAAATCATTTATTTATAACAAAAAGTAAAGGACAGAATATCTCCACTCTTCTCTGAAAGTGGAAACCAAACTTTTCAGTTTGTTTTCTAACAGTATTGTCAGAAAAGTTTGGAGCATGGTCCAAAAACTATATTGGGAAACTGAGCGATTTTATCCTGATTGTACCAGCTTTAATTGCTAAGGTTCCACTGCTTGGTTCTTGTATTTTGTGCTTGGTTCTTATTCATACCGCAAATTCTGAATCACTCATTTCAGTTAACAATCATTTCTCGAACTATTTTATTAGCGACTATTTCACAGTGAATCCGTCTGGCTTTGAAGATTATTTTTTGGAAGTTAATAAGATTGATTTTCACTTTGTTTGTAAAATTTCACTATTTTAGTATGATATCATTTCGCTTTACAAACTTCTCATCACACATTTCACATTCAATTATTGACAATTCACTCGTTATTCTATGCGGATTTGTGATCTAATTTTTTCAGTTATTTCTACTCTTTTTTCATATTTTTTTAATGATACATTATCATATACGAGAAAATTCGAATTGTGCATTTGTAGAATTACTTTATAACATGCTCTATTTGTGAATTTTTTTTAGTCCTTATGGTTTTGTCAATCGCATTTTAAATTTTTCCAAAATGTAAAGTGTTTGCAAACTCTAAAATCGAGTGCGTTATTTGTGGCAGTTATAATCCTTTCATGCGAGACTTGAGAAAAAAATTTAAATTTTTTTGCTGTGTAGTGAGATGCCGAATTTTGATTGAGATTTCCAATTTTTTCCCCGAGGTTATAGTGGAAATTAAATTAATAGTGAACAAAAATCTGAAACCAAGTAAAAATCATAAATAAGCAGAAAAGTGGAGAATTTGCATCCCTGTATATTATTTTTTAATAGGTTGCAAATGTAAAAAGAAAAAGAAATTTGAAAGGGAAAAATAGTTTTGTTTATTTTGATTGTTAAAAAGGACCTTGGCAAAGTTAGTTATTGATAACTGATATCAGTACAAAAATACCCCGGCTAAAAATTGTCATTTGAACTTGCTTTTTCTGTGATTCATCATAATAGATAGCACGATAACCAGGGATGGGCCCTCTAAATACGTATGAGGCCCTTCATTGGTCAATCTGCTGTGCATGAGGCTCTTCACTGAAAAAGGTTGTGCACCCCTACTTTAAAATAATNAACACTGTCAGCTCAGCGTTAGAAAATATTTTGTATTAAAATGAAGTTTGTTTATAAAAAGTTTTAATTCTATAATACTAAATGAATTTTTATTCTGATGAAAATGTGTCAAAAAATACTCTCAGTTCAGTGCTCAAAAATATTTTGTATCAAAATGAAGTTTGTTTTTGAAAGGTTTTAATTGTATAGTAAATCATTTATTTATAACAGAAAGTAAAGGACAGAATATCTCCATTCTTCTCTGAAAGTGGAAACCAAACTTTTCAGTTTGTTTTCGAACAGCATTGTCAGAATAGTTTGGAGCTTGGTCCAAAAACTATATCGGGAAACGGAGCCATTTATTTCCTGATTGTACCAGCTTTGATTGCTATGGTTCCACTGTTTGGTTCTTGTATTTTCTGCTTGGTTCTTATATTTATAACATATCGCAAATTCTGAATCACTCATTTCAGTTAACAATCATTTCTCGATCTATTTTATTAGCGACTATTTCACAGAGAATCCGTGTGGCTTTGAAGATTATTTTTTGGAAGTTAATATGATTGATTTTCACTTGGTTTGTAAGATTTCACTATTTTAATATGATGTTATTTCGTTTGACAAACTTTGCATCACACATTTCACATTCAATTATTGACAATTCGTTCGCTATTCCTGAGGATTTGTAATCTAATTTTTTCAGTTATTTCTACTTTTTTTTTCGTATTTTTTTAATGATACATTATCATATACGAGAAAATTCGAATTGTGCATTTGTATAATTACTTTATGACACGCTATATTTGTGAAATTTTTTTAGTCCTGATAATTTTGCTAGTCGCATTTTAAATTTTTCCAAAATGTAAAGCGTTTGCACACTCTAAAATCGAGTGCATTATTTGTCGCAGTTATAATCCTTTTATGCGAGACTTGTGAAAAAAATTTATTTTTTTTTTGCTGTGTAGTGAGATTTCGAATTTTGATTATGTGATTTCCAGTTTTTTTTCCCTGGTTATAGTGAAAATTAAATTAAAAGAACAAAAATCTGAAACCAAGTAAAGATCATAAATAAGCAGAAAAGCGGAGGATTTGCATCCCTGTATATTATTTTTTAACAGGTTGCAAATGTAAAAAGAAAAAAAAAATTGAAAGGGAAAAATAGTTTTGTTTATTTTGATTGTTAAAATGGGCCTTGGAAAAGTTGGTCATTGGTAACTGATATCAATACAAAAATACCCCCACTAAAAATTTTATCATTTGAACTTTTTCTGTGATTCATCATCATAGATAGCATGATAACCAGGGTGGGCCTTAGCTTTCTCAAGAAGTTTTTTTCAGGCCAGTCTTTTTCTAGGCGCCATCTATCCATCTCAAATTCGGTCTGCCTTTTTTCTGTGGGCCAACTGGTCTGGCATTAAAAAGTTTTTAATCGTACGGTCTCCATTCATTATGATAACATGGCCTGCCCATTTTATTCTTTAACGCTTAAGGAACTTAATAATGTCAGGCTCTTTGTGTGAGTGATAAAGCTCTAAATATGTTTTTTCTGTTATTATTTTATAAAAAGTTTTTTGTTTATCAATCTGATTGCTTCCTACTTGTAAATACCATTTTAGTGTGGAAATGAAACTGATTTTCTCTGAGTAACCACCTAATGAAAGAGTACCCAATAGACTGAAAGTTTACAAATCTTTCAACTACCTTTATAACTTTTAATTTAGAAATTAGTTGTAATGCCATAACAGTACAGAAAATGAAAAAAAGAACAGTTTCTTTTTATACGATATTACTACCATTTTGTCTATCTTGGAGTGTTTTATTAGCATCATTTTGGTATTGCTAAAGCTAAAAGATCCCTAAGTTGCAAATTTCTTTTTCTGTCCTACATTTTTTTTAAGCTATAAATATTCGTTATTTGTGAAACAAAATTTTATGTCATAAAAGATAAATATTTAAGCTTAAGTTTTTTGTTTTTAAAATTATCACAATTCGTTTAAAACTAAGTTATAGTTTTTGGGTTTATGAAAATTAGATTTTGTTAATATTTAGTTTTTGCTAGGTTAAGTTTTATTTTCCATAAAGAGAAAAAATATTTGAATATTTGTTTTGTTAGATTATTGGAAAGCTATAAACTTATTTTATATTAAGCAAATTTCTTTAGCAAAATATGTCTTTAAATTAGCTTAAAATTAAAATGTATTATAATAAAATATTCCTTAAATATTTTCCAATTTAAAACAATAATATAAAGTATAGAATAACTTGTAATTGATGATCAACAATTGAAAATTTCAATATTAGCTTTTTTAATTCCTGTGTTATTGTATATTTTAGCCTCAGCCTCTCTTATTACAAATTTAGTACCTATTCATTCAAATAAATCCAAAGCTGCTGGATCCGAATCTTGGTGTTGTGACTTTTCATCGGATGAGTCATACTTTGCTTGGTCTTCTGGAAATTGTGTTGTTACTATCATTCCTTGGAGTTTTTGTAAAGCAACATTGTAAGTAAAACATAATTTGTACGGTTTGTTTTCTTTTTATTCTAAGGACAGTGCAATTTAGCAAAAGTAGTGATATGTTTTTGATTACTTTGTCTATTAAAAAGTAATTTTTTAAGACTTGCTAATTAAACTATTTAAAACTGTGCACAATAATTGTAATTTTAGACAGTTTTAATGTAATATAAATTATTGAATATTTTCTGAGTTATTGATGTAAATTTGATATTTTTATTTATGACTTAACATGTTTTTTTTAACAATATGATGAGTATTTTTTAATTTTTTAAATAGGTTTAAGCACAAAGAAGTTAATGTACCTTTCAAGCCAGGAATTGGGTAAGATTGTTTTATTCGAAAATTTTATTGTATAAAATGTTTTCAATTACTTTAATTATTTCATATTATTTTTATACTATCTTCACAATATTTTGTTTTAATTTATTAATATTTTCCATTTTTCCATTAATGCTTTGAATGGTTTATTCAATATATGCCTACATTAAAATGTTTTCTATCAGAGTTACTAGAAATATTCTAAGTTTCTTTTCCTTGCTTTGCAAAAGCTATAATTGCTGCCGAGTGACATAAAAATGATTATACTACTGTAAAACACTAGGATTTTTTTGAAAAGTATATCATTAATTATTCATTGCTATTATTTAGTAGCTTATATTGCATAACCTCAAAACTCCAGATTACTCGAGTGTTTGGGGAGAGTTCAGATTTTGAAAAGTTCTGAATTTTAGGTATTTTACTAAGTTAATAGAGGAGTCTTAAGTTATGGGAATAAAATAGTCTTCAAATGTGTGATTCTATTTTATTATGACTGGTGAATTCCTACAATTTAAAATTGACTTAACTAATTTTTTTTCCTGTTATGAGCTTGAAAAAAAAATGGTCCAGATTTTTGAGGATACGTCAGCAAATTATAATTAATATAGCTAATTACTAAAAAGATCTTATGTTGTTAGGGGATGTAAAACAATATCAATTCAAGTATCAAATCAATTTTTCAGTAAAATTAGTTATTCTATTTAAATATTAAGTAATGAAAAAAGCCACAAATTATGCAACTTGCTTGATATGTAAAGCAGTCATTAAATAATTACCAATGAAAATACATAAAATGTTTAATATTGGGGAATCATTTACGAGATAATGTGTATATAACCCTTTTGAATTCTCTTAAAGTTTTTTGGTATTATAATTTCTTTACATATTAAACAAAATAAATAAATTACATTGCTCACTATTTTATTGTTACTGAACTAACTGGGTCACTTGTTGAGAGTTGTAGCCTTGTTTCCCTAAAGTAAGATTTAAAAAAAAAATGAGTTTGATATGTATGTATCCTTTAGCAAATCAGAATTGTGTGAAATTGGTATAAATAATACTTATCATTACAATGTTTTAAGAGAAATGCCTTGCTTAGTTAATTTTCTGGTCAGTTTATTTTCTATTTTAATGTTTTGAACAGAAAAACTATTATAGTGTCAAATAATTGTTACTGACTTTGAATTTCATAATTTTTATTAGAGAGCCGTTGTTTCTGTAATGGTATTTAAAGTATGGATTCTTAAATGTTCACTTTGATTATTTTTTAATTTTTATTATAGCATAATTTGCTGATTTTTTAAATTTTTTTTAATGGTTTTGGTTTGTCTTATTCTTTACACATATTCAGTATTTTAATTGACCCTTTAATTTTCTTTGCGTTCCTTAATTTTCTCAAACGTTTTGCAGAAGAAAATTTTTTCATACATTAAAAAATTTAATTAAAAAAAATTAAACTTTCAAAATGGAACAATTGCTTTGACTTTAGCTTATTATTGCTCAAATCTCAATTGTTCAATAATATTTTGTCTGTAGTTATTTGTGATAAACCAGCAAAAAATTATTGAGGAAAAAAAATTCTTCAAAACAAGTTATGTGAATTGAAAATGTTGAAAAATTTGTATGTATTTGATATTCAATTCATAATTTTAAATCTAACATTTTCTAACTATCAAAAGAAGAAGAAAAAAAGTGTCTCATACAAATGTATTTGATAAAATATTTTTTAAAAAATAATCTATAATAAAATTAAGCAAATTTGACATTTTCTTCTCTACATTGCAGAAAAATACTTTTTAGTCGGGCCAAATTATCAAACAATTGTTAATTTATGTTAAATTATTATATCATTAATTTATGTAATACTCATAAGTAATTTATAACAAAAAATTAATTCTTATGAACTGTTGCCTTTTTAAAAATAGAAATTTTATAGGAAAGTTATTGATTAAAATTTCTTTATTTTTTTCCAATATATTCTTAATTACTTGTTTCAAGAACTAAAACATTGTGCCTAAATTGCGCAAAAAAATATTTATTTAAAGTTGCTCTATTGAAACTGTGTGCTACGGTCCAATATCAATTACAGGATTCTCGTTGATAGCAAACATGAAGTAGAAGATTGCTTTGGCTGCAACACTATTTCTGTGTTTACTGGTCACCTCATTCGCTCTGTGGCATTTGGTTCTTCTTCCTTAAATTATGGTGATAAGCCATGTTCTCCTTTCTGGTCCCGTCTTTGTTCTTCCAAAGATTTGGTTCTGGCAACTGGCCATATTAATGGACGCATCAGAATATGGGATGTCTTGACAGGTATTTTTAAAAACTATTTGAAATAGTGCATTAATAACATTTTGAAATGTGTGGTACTGAATTCATAATATTTTCTCATTGGTAGGGTAATAATAATTAAGTACATTTGAGACTGAGATGATAAGTAGCTGTATTATTGCATTTCTCTTTTATTAAATTTCATATGAGTTTTTATTTTAGTTAAAATAAAATACTATTAAAATTTCGTATTTTATTTCCTAAGTACTATTTTCAAATTTTAATGATTTAAAAGAAAGAAAAGTTTGGTTATTAAAATTTATTTTACTTTAAGCATTCCTTTAATTAAAAATTGAGCTTTAAAAGTTTATTTAAGTTTATTGTTTGGAATTGTTTTTAATACAAGAATTTTTATAATGTAATAATAATAAAAGCTTTTTATTAAATTTTTTTCTTCAGAATATTCTAGTAATTCTTCAAGCAACTAAATATGTACATAAATGAATATACAGTAGTCCCTTTATATTAAAATTTTGAATCGGATTGTTAAATAACATTCAAAATAGTCTCCGTATGACAAATTGATTGTTCTTTCTTGTACATACTTCTTTTTGCACTCATATTATTAATTTAAAGCAATAATGCAGTACAATAGAATTATATGTAAATTACCCATGAATGGGAATTACCCGTTTCAAGTATTTTCTTACAGTACCTATGTATAATTTTATTTTTAATTAAAAGTCATTATTATATATTTTTGAAATTATCACACCAACTGAAAATTTTTAACATTTGCTTAAATAGCTGCAATAGCTCCAAACCTCTGTGTTATAAAATTTTCTCTATAATGAATTTTTCAACTGGAACCTACAGATTTTGTTATGTTCTCTGTAAATATATTAGTACATATATATTTATCTAAGTATTGTCTTGCTTTTAATTTCTAGCAGTAAAGCAATTTTTTTTTACAAAAGTAATTTAGAATTTCTTTAATTTATACTTTCTAATATTTTCATTTACATTTTTACTTTTATTTATTGCAACTTTTGCCTTATCACATTTTTAGGTATGACAATTGAAATTGGTGATATGGGGCTGATATGAATGCTAAATATTCTTATATGAATGCTATATGTTCTTATTTTATTCTAATTAAGTTTAAATTATTAATGTTTTTTATAATTGATTTTTGTGTATGGGGACATATATTTATTTTTAATTTTTTTTTCAAGGCAAACTTATTCTTCAACTTATGGACCATAGTGATATGGTGTCTCACATGACATTCAATCCACTTGGTAATCTTGTTTTAATTTCCTCATCTTATGATGGTACACTCAAAGTATGGGATTTGCATAATGACGGAAATATGTTTCGAACACTTAAAATGAACAACAGACCTGTTTATTCCTGTTGCTGGTCACATGATGGAAAAACAGTTGTGTCTGTTGGCATGTGTAAATTGGTAAAAATAATCTTTATTCTCTTTCATTAAATTTTTTTTGATAAAGAAATTTTATTGAAGAAAGTAATTAAAAACAGTAGTTTTTTTTCCTAATGTTTTTACATTGATAATTTTTATTACAGTTTTTAAGGATTCATTAAATTTTAATTTAAACTTAACAGAGATAGTGTGTTACTTAAAAATGAATATTCATTTTATTATGAACTTATTTTATTTGCAAAGAATTAGAATTAAATTTTTGCTAAGTACTAAAAGTTACTCTCTAAGAATGATGTTTTCATAACTTTAAAACTAGTTGTTTCTTCTAAGGTTAGTTAAGTTACAAGCCAANTGTTGTTGTTGTTCATTTACGTCGCACTAGAGCTGCACAATGGGCTATTGGCGACGGTCTGGGAAACATCCCTGAGGATGATCCGAAGACATGCCATCACAATTTTGATCTTCTGCAGGGGGGATGGCACCCCCGCTTCGGTAGCCCGACGACCTGCACGCGAATATATTTGTTCAGAGAAAGTATGCTTTTGTGTCTGATGATTTCGTAATTTATTACAGTCAAACTCGTTTATAACGAGCACAAAGGGACCGTAACATGTACTCGTTAAATCCGAGTGCTCGTAATAAACGGGTACTTAAGACAGGCGTGCAACCAGAAGAGGGGGGGGGTTTGGGAGGTCAAATGATTGAATTTACTTAAATTTTAATTAATACTTACTTACTTTAATTACATTAATTAATTTAATCGCGTTTTTTTTATTTCGCGAACGTTTCTTATCATTTTGAAAAAAAAGATAAGACAGAAAGACTAGAAAGATGAGAAAAAAGATAGCAAGACAGAAAAATATTGCTCGCTAAAACCGGGTCTTGCTCGTTAAAAGCGACTTCTGTTCCATAGACTTAACATTGATCCAACCAAATATTCTCGTTTCCCTCGTTAAATCCGAGTTCTCATTAAATCCGAGCTCGTTATAAACGAGTTCGACTGTACTATCAAAATTTCATATTTTTTTTTCCTAAATACTGTTTTCAAACTTTAATATTTTTTAGGATGTGAGATAGTAATTTGAGTTAAAAGAAAGGAAAGTTGGGTTATTAAAACTTATTTTATTTTAAGCATCCATTCAAATAAAAATTTAGTTTTAAAAGTTTAAGTTTATTGTTTGGAATCGTTTTTAGCAAAAGAATTTTTATAATCTTATAAAAAATGCATATGTCTAAAATAATAACAAAACCTCTAAATTTTTTTAAGAATGGTCTTGTAATTCTTCAGGCAACTAAATCTATACATTAATGTATTTACCCCTTTATATTAAAATTTTGAATCAGATAGATTCGAAATAGTCTCCGTAGGACAAAGTCTTTCTTGCATGCGATTCTTTCTGCAATCACAGCAATAATGCTGAACAATAGAATTATTTGTGATTTACCCATGAATGAGAATTCCCCATTTCAAGCATTTTCTTACAATGTGTATGATTTTATTTTTAATTAAAAGTAATATTTTTTTGAAATTATCACACATACTATAAATGTTTTTACATTTTACTTAAATAGCTGCAATAGCTCCAAACCCCCATATAATAATATACACCTCATAAAATTTTCTCTATAAAGAAATTTTCAACTGGAACCTACAGATTTTGTTATAGAGACTTCTCTGTATATATATATTAGTGCCTATATATTTATCTAAGCATTATCTTTTTATTTCTTGCAATAAAACATTTTTTTTATATATAAAAGAAATTTAGAATTTTTTCAACTGCCGGAAAACAGAATCTTTCATGACTCGTGTTATCTTTAAACCTTTTTTGAAAAACTTTTGAACAGTTTGCAAGATATTTATACTTTTCTAAAATTTTCATTTACATTTTTACTTTTATTTATTGCAACTTTTGCCTTATCACATTTTTAGGTATGGCTATGGTGATATGGGGCTGATATAAATGCTAAATATTCATGTTCTTATTTTATTCTAATTAAGTTTAAATTATTTATGTTTTTTTATAGTTTAATTTTGTGTATGGGGTATATTTTTATTTTTAATTTTTTTTTCAAGGCAAACTTATTCTTCAACTTATGGACCACAGTGATATGGTGTCTCACATGACATTCAATCCACTTGGTAATCTTGTTTTAATTTCCTCATCTTATGATGGTACACTCAAAGTATGGGATTTGCATAATGACGGAAATATGTTTCGAACACTTAAAATGAACAACAGACCTGTTTATTCCTGTTGCTGGTCACATGATGGAAAAACAGTTGTGTCTGTTGGCATGTGTAAATTGGTAAAAATAATCTTTATTCTCTTTCATTAAATTTTTTTTGATAAAGAAATTTTATTGAAGAAAGTAATTAAAAACAGTAGTTTTTTTTCCTAATGTTTTTACATTGATAATTTTTATTACAGTTTTTAAGGATTCATTAAATTTTAATTTAAACTTAACAGAGATAGTGTGTTACTTAAAAATGAATATTCATTTTATTATGAACTTATTTTATTTGCAAAGAATTAGAATTAAATTTTTGCTAAGTACTAAAAGTTACTCTCTAAGAATGATGTTTTCATAACTTTAAAACTAGTTGTTTCTTCTAAGGTTAGTTAAGTTACAAGCCAAAATTACACTGGCATTTTGAAAAAAATTTTAACTATACAAAAATCTAAATTTTGCATTGTTGTTCAAGCAATAATCATGTCTATTCACTGTAGTGCTGCTTAAAGACATAAAATTTTTTAGACATCCAAGTCTCGTATGATTTCATTAAGAAAACTCTTGGTGATTGTTTATTCATTTAATTAGGAATTAGTTACTTTAAGTATATTAAAAGCCCTAAATAAGGAAAACTGAATAATTATTCAGAAAAAATACAGCAGCTGCTTGAAAAGTTTATCCAAGGATGAAAAGTCTTAAATAATAGAACATTTGTTCAGGATTTTATAAATTTGATTAGAGACAGGCTAATTAAATTATTTTTTATTTATGACTCAGAAATTCTTGCTCTTTAATTATTTAAATTCAAACAATCAATGTTTTTTAAATCACTAAAAATTTGAAATCTGGGAGATTTTAAAGTACATTTCAGTGAGTTTGAGTAAATTATTTTTAAAGTTTATATGTTAACAATAAATATGGCCTTGCCTTTATTTGTTATCTGCTAGCTCTCAAAACTCTATAAATCCTTAATGCTCATTTAAACTGTTCATGCTATGGCATTTGCACACTTGGGTTTTAATTTGCTACCATAAAGTGGACTATAAAAGTTACTTGTCAATTGCTTATTGCCAAATGTACTTGGAGCTTTCCTTCACTCTGAGGAAATTCAAAAATTATCAATTGAAACCTACATGTTCTAAAATCTGTAAAATTTAAAAACTTAGCAAAAATTAAACTCTCATATTTAAATAAGACTAAAATAGAATCAAGGTAGCACAATTGTTTTCAAAAGTGTCACTTAGAATCTTTTTTCCACTTAAATATCCTATTATTGTGATTTTAATAAACAAAACAAACTTTGCATGAATTATTTATCACAATAAATTCTAAATATTAGGTTACATTGATACACATCCTTTCTAAATTATTTGCACTCTCAATGCACTGCGATTAAGTGCTGGCACTTTTTGCCCAACTGACAAATTTACAAATAATAATACACAGATGACAAATTTATGTTAATTTGGATACTGATGCTAAACTGTAAGATGAAATGACAAATTTTAAGTATAAATTGCAACCTTTCATTAATATTTGTAGGTGTATGTTTGGGACATGAAGAGCTTAAAAGTGAAATTCATGCTTGAGGGTCATCATCATGATGTTGTTTCCTGTGCCTTTTCTCCAGATGACTGTCTCATAGCTTCCGCTTCCTGGGATACCCGCGTCATCCTCTGGGATTCATTTAATGGACAAGTGCTCAAATGTTTTGGGTGTGTATGATTTTTGTCAAATTTTACGATTATGGTTTTGTTATTTCATAAATGAAATATTTCATTAATAATTTAATCATACTAAATTTTTATATCTAATTTAGAACACAAAACTTTTTGAAATTGTTCTTCGTTTATAAAAAAAATGTTGAACATCAATTTTTTTCTTCTAATTATCTATGTAAAAGTGTGCGGAAAAGGGGTATTTGTTAGTGTTAAATATGATTGTGCGTTACTGGTATGATTGTGTGTTTCTTCAGTGACTTGAAAACCCTGACCTTCTCCAGGCATCTCTATCCTTAAGAATGTATAAGTTATTCTCTGCGCAGTAAATCTATCTTAGCGGGAATCTACTCTGGGGTCTTTTATTCCATGGGCTTTGACAAAAAAACCCCTTTCTTACAGCATCAATCTTCCTTTAATCTTGCCAGGTGGCCAGTTTATTTAATTCTTTGGATTTTGATGAATTTTTCAATGTCTGGTTCTTTAAAAATATTGTAAATCTCTAAATTATTCCTTCTCCATGAATGGTTTACCTGAACCCCGCCAAGTATACTTTGCAAACTTTTTATCTCTAAAAGTCCCCATAACCTTTGCATCACATAAAGCTAATGGCCAAGTCTCCAATGTTTTAGTTAAAATAGATCTTATTAGAGGCGAATTGTGTATTTACGTGATTAAAATGTAAAACTAGAGAATATCTTTTCTTACTAAATCATACAATCAATTATTTCAACTCTGTTTCTCAACCACTGTTTTGTGGATATTTGTATTAAAATCAATATAAATTTTTATTAGTACAGTAGGGAACCGATTATCCGGAACGATCGGGACCATCGCTATTCCGGATAACTGATTTTTCCGGTTTTCTGAATCACTACAAAAAGCCTTTAAACCCAACTAGAAAAAAAAAAATTTTGGAAATAATCTGAAAAAGAAGAAAAAACGATGAAGTAATACACTAATGATTATTTCCAAAATGATGGTAAGGTNGATTTTAATAAACAAAACAAACTTTGCATGAATTATTTATCACAATAAATTCTAAATATTAGGTTACATTGATACACATCCTTTCTAAATTATTTGCACTCTCAATGCACTGCGATTAAGTGCTGGCACTTTTTGCCCAACTGACAAATTTACAAATAATAATACACAGATGACAAATTTATGTTAATTTGGATACTGATGCTAAACTGTAAGATGAAATGACAAATTTTAAGTATAAATTGCAACCTTTCATTAATATTTGTAGGTGTATGTTTGGGACATGAAGAGCTTAAAAGTGAAATTCATGCTTGAGGGTCATCATCATGATGTTGTTTCCTGTGCCTTTTCTCCAGATGACTGTCTCATAGCTTCCGCTTCCTGGGATACACGCGTCATCCTCTGGGACTCATTCAATGGACAAGTGCTCAAATGTTTTGGGTGTGTATGATTTTTGTCAAATTTTACGACTATGGTTTTGTTATTTTATGTATGCAATATTTCATGGGATAATTTAACCATGCTAAATTTTTATATTTAATTGAGAAGACAAAACTTTTTGAACTTGCTCTTTGTTTATGAAAAAAAAAATGTTGAAAATTTTTTTCTTCTTATAATTATCTATGTAAAAGTGTGTGGAAAAGGGATATTCATTAGTGGTAAATATGATTGAGCATTACTGGTATGATTGTGTATTTCTTCAGTGACTTCCTTTTCCAGGCATCTCTATATTTGACGACTTCTCTCCAGTCTATATCCTTAAGAATGTATAGGTTATTCTCTGCTTAGTCGATTCATCTTTTTAGGGATCTACTCTGGGGTCTTTTTCTCCATGGACTTTGCCAAAAAAACTTTCTTACATCAATCTTCCTTTGTTCTTGCCGGGTGGCTAGTCTATTTGATTCTTTGGATTTTGATGAATTTGTCAATATCTGGTTCTTAAAAAATCCTGTAAAGCTCTAAATTATTCTTTCTCCATGAATGGTTTACCTGAACCCCACCAAGTATACAGCAAAATTTTGATCTTTTGAGTCTCCAGAACCTTTGCATCACTTAAAGTTAATGGCCCAGTATCTGATGTTTTTCTTAAAATAAATCTTTTTAGACTCTAATTGTGTATTTATGTACTTAAAATATAACTAGAAAATATCTTTTCTTACTAAATCATACAATCAATTATTTCAACACTGTTTCTCACCTACTGGTTTGTGGATATTTGTATTAGAATTAATATAAATTTTATTTGTATTTAAATAGGTTCAAAAAGTTTTAATTGTTAAGAGATGTAAATGATTAGAAGCAAACTAGTAAAAAATTTTTTTAAAGCCGACAATTTCGTCTATGTAAAAATTATGCCAATAGCTCAATTTACTAATCTTACCTGTTCCAACAGTCGGCTATTAATAAAGCATGGTCGTTGGGCTATTAAAGTGGTTAAGTCATCCCTTCTGCAGTGGCTCAAAATAGTGATGGTCTGTCTTTAAATCATCCTCCGGGATGTTTCCCTAACAATCTTCAATAGTCCATTGTGCAACTCTTCTGTGACGTAAATAAAGTACCACTACTTTTACACGCATTTGCATTATAGTTTTTGTTAGTGTTCTTTTATCCTTTACTTATATATTTTTTGGGGTTGCAATGACTTTAAGGAATGTTGTAGTAAAATATAATTTTTACTTTTTAGCCATTTACAACCTTCACCTCGTCTCATTTTCGCTTGTGGATACAATGGAACATGGATTCGTGATGTATCATTTTCTTCTGATGGAGCTCATATTGCAACTGTAGCAGATGATGGGTATGTGTAAAATACATTTATGTGTAGTGATAGTTGTTGAGTTTCATAAAATAAAAAACAATTTTTAAAAAACTGAGTAAAAAATTTTATGAAAATTTTAAAATCAGCTATTTAATATTTGATATGTTGGATATGTTTGCCATCAATGGCTATGACGTGAAGAAAACAAATAGCAAAATCCATGGAGATTGAGGTGCCCTCTGATGTCTTGAAAAGTGGTTTTCAGCTCCTTCATTTTTTCCCCTTTTTGGGGAGGAAAGGTGATATTATTGAATGCGAATTTTCTTTGAGCTGTGATCGGTATAATATTTTTAGGTATTGTAGACCTTGATGATTAATATATGCTGCATTAAGAGACTATATTTTGACATTTACAGGGAAAATGCGAGACATTGAGAGTGCTTATGTTCAAAAAAATTTTTAACATTACTTGCATTCAACTATCAAAGTTTAATTGTATCTGATCTCTGTAATAATACAGAAATTATAGTGGAGTTTTTTTTTCTTCTTTTTTTAGCATGGTTTAATAGTTAACATCTTATTTCTTATTCATAATTTTAAGTATAAGGCTCGAGTTTAAATAAATTATTTTTTATTGCAATTGAATTTTTTTGTTTTCATTTGTTTATTAAAAGTTAATTTTTGATTTTTAACAACAGATTTAGTTATGCCAAGTATAAAGTTTTTAAATAAATAACTCCAAGAAACTGAAGCAGTAAGTTTAAATCAAAACTTCATTCACTTCAAAAATATACTAATTGGAAACAAGTCTATATGTTTCAAACGCTCAAAAATAGGTACACCTTCACGTCTGGCATATCTTGAAAATGGGCAGCTATTCTTGAGCAATTGAAAATGTCGACTGTTATTTCCAATTCGTGTATATTTTGAGCAAATGAAGTTTTTAATCAAGCATAAAGTTTTTAGTTTTTGTTCAGAGAAACATGTGTAGTGCTTATAGCAAAAATAAAAGACAATGTTTTAAATATAATTTTTTTTTATTTTTAATTTTTTTTTAATTTTTAGATTCTTGAGGTTTTGGGATATCACTAAAGAGGAAACTCCTGAAGCTATGGCTCCCATTGAAAATTCACTATGCTGTACATACTCTCCATCAGGACGTATCCTTGCCGTAGGGTGAGTTAACTAATTAAAATTATTAAGTTTATTTCCATTTACTAAATTCTGCACGCTTTTTGTGAGAGATGAAGATACCTGTTATTCAATGTGTGTAACAATGAGTGGCTTGCTGCATTTGAAAATATTAGTCATTTCTTTCAGTTTTTCTTTTATTTAAAACACTGTAGAAAAAAAAGTAATTGCTGCTAAGATTTCTTGTTTTTGTGCACCATTGCTTTCATGTCATGTTTATGCTTTTGTTATTATTGAACATTTTCAATAACCTCAGCTTATAGAAATCAAGATTTTAAATAATAAATCTTTGAATATTTTTATTAAAGCTTTTTATTTTATTGAGTTTATATTTTTATAAATTTCATTTGTTGGTTTTCTTTAATGCTTTAACTGATATGATTCAGTGAATAAAATTTTAATATCTTAGATGAAATGAAACTCTGAAGTTATGCAACTTCTGATGAAGTTCATGTAATAAGATTCAAATAAGCAATTTTTATTTTTTGACACAGCTTTTTAAGAATTCATTATTTTTTTTCCTCCATTTTCTCACATTGTTCCAGTTTACTTTGATTTTTTTGCTTGAAAAGTGAATAGAAATTTCAGTGTTTATAAATTACTGTTAATTTCTCTTAATTTATTAATATTTGAAAAAAAAATTAAAATTTCATTTCTTATTTATTTTATAGTATATCATTGAGTATATCTAGTTGAGAATATTTTACTATATCAAACTATATATATTTTTTTGAGAAATTTATTTCTTTTAAATTTTTTTTTACTATAATTTTAGTAGGCATTTTTTAAAAAAATATTATTTTTGTTATTTTGTTGAAATAATTTTTTTTGTGATAGTTTGAGATGTCATAATTTAATGCACACTAATAAAATGAATAGCAATATATTTTTAAATACCTTTAACTGTTAAATCTTAAAAAATTTTGTTAAAATCGGAAATGGTTTCACATATTTAAAAAAACCTATCAAATTAAAAAAAAATTATGTGCATTTTAAAATTAAAACTTTATACAAAATTCCCTCTAATTTTTATTTTTCACTTTGTTGCTTCTTTATGTTGTCACACTGTTAAGTTCCTTAAAGCANTCGTGCTGTGATCGGTATAATATTTTTAGATATTGTAGACCTTGATGATTAATATATGCTGCTTTGAGAGGCCGTATTTTGACATTTTCAGTGAAAATGTAAAACAACATTGAGAGTGCTTACATTAAAAAAAAATCTTAACATGACTTGCATTTAACTATCAAAGTTTAATTGTATCGAATCTCACCAATGATACAGATATTATTGGGGAGTTAATTTCCACATAGAACAGTAGTTAACACCTCATTTCTTATTCATAATTTTAAATATAATGCTGGAGTTTCAATAAATTTTATTTATTGCAATTGAATTTTTTTGTTTTAATTTGTTTATTAAAAGTTAATTTTTGATTTTAAACAACAGATTTATTTATGCTAAGTACAAGGCTGATTGTGCTCCGGAAAAAATCCGGATTTCCGGATTTTTTGCTAACATTGATCCGGAAGTTTCCGGAGATCGAAGGTCCAGAAGTTTAAAGAAATCATTGATCACAGAAGTTTCAGGAAATCAAATTTTCAAAGGTGGAACTTAAAAACACAGTTTATTTTATTTGTTTGTAAGGGAGAGCCAAAGAGATACTTTATAAGCTTATATTCATGATTAATATTAATTTTTTATCAGTAAATAGTTGTTATAATCATAAACTCAAAAAAGAAAGACATATTTGTACATTTTAATTACTTCTCCAGGTCATCATAGGTATGTGTAAATGATATGGGTATGTGTAAAATTTTAAATATATTTTAAGTAAACTAAGAAATATTGAGTAAAAGGGAAAAAAAACCTTGTTTAAATTTTTTTAAACTTTTAAAACTTTTTTTTTTCCAAGAAATTTTCCGGAATTTTGACTTGGGCTCACAATCACCCCTGTAAGTATAAAGTTTTTAAATAAATAACTCCAAGAAACTGAAGCAGTAAGTTTAAATCAAAACTTCATTCATTTCAAAAATATACTAATTGAAAAAGAGTCTAAATGTTTCAAACGCTCAAAAGTAGGTACACCTTCATGTCTGGCATATCTTGAAAATGTCGACTGTTATTTCTAATTCGTATATATTTTGAGCAAATAAAGTTTTTAATCAAGCGTAAAGTATTTTTTTTTTAGTTTTTGTTCAGAAAAACAATTGTTGAGCATATAGTAAAAATAATTTAAAAAAAAGACAATGTGATAAATATATATATTTTTTCATTTTTATTTTATTTTCAGATACTTGAGGTTTTGGGATATCACTAAAGAGGAAACTCCTGAAGCTATGGCCCCCATTGAAAATTCACTATGCTGTACATATTCTCCATCAGGACGTATCCTTGCCGTAGGGTGAGTTAACTAATTAAAATTATTGAATTTATTTCCATTTACTAAATTCTGCACTCTTTTTGTGAGGGATAAAGATACCTGTTATTCAATGTGTGTAACAATGAGTGGCTTGCTGCATTTGAAAATATTAGTCATTTCTTTCAGTTTTTCTTTTATTTAAAACTCTCTAGAAAAAAAAAAGTAATTGCTGCTAAGCTTTCTTGTTTTTGTGCACCGTTGCTTTCATGCCATGTTTCTGCTTATGTTATTGAAAATTTTCAATAACCTCAGCTTATAGAAATCAAATAAATCTTTGAATATTTTTATTAAAGCTTTTTTATTTTATTAAGTTTATGTTTTATTAAGTTTATATTTTTATAAATTTCATTTATTGGTTTTCTTTGATGCTTTAACTGATATAATTCAGCGAATAAAATTTAAATATCTTAGATGAAATAGAACTCTGAAGTTGTGCAATTTCTGATGAAGTCCATGCAATAAGATTCAAATGAGCAATTTTTTTTGACCCAGCTTTTTAAGAATTCCCTTTTTTGTTTTTGTTTTTTTGCATTTTCTCACATTTTTCCAGATTATTTTGATTTTTTTGCTTGAAAAGTTAATAGAAATTTCAATCTTTATAAATTACTGTTAATTTCTCTTAATTTATTAATTTTTGAAAAAAAAATGTAAAATTTCAATTTTTATTTATTTTATAGTATATCATGGAGTATATGTAATAGAGAATATTTTACTATATCAAAATATGACTTTTTTTGAGAAATTTTTGTTTTTCACTCCAATTGTAGGAGGTATTAAATTTTTTGTTTTGTTACGTTGTAATGTTTTTTTCCCGGTGATAGTTTGCGATGTCATAATTTAATACACTAATAAAATTAATAGCAATATATTTTTAAATACCTTTTAACTGTTAAATCTTAAAAAATTTCGTTAAAATCAGAAATGGTTTCACATATTTAAAAAAAACTATCAAATTAAAAAAAAATTATGTGCATTTTATAATTAAAACTTTATACAAAATTCCCTCTAATTTTTATTTTTCACTTTGTTGCTTCTTTATGTTGTCACACCGTTAAGTTCCTTAAAGCAAAGGTATGATATCATGCATTATTTTTTTTACTTATGTGTATTTTTGATGTTTAAAAATATTTCCTTCATTTTTTTTATTATTGTTTAATATTTTATGTTAAATTCTAAAAATTTTAAACCAGGATGTCTCATATGATATTATTTTTACAGGTTCATGTAAGTACTTTTAAATTTAACTCAGTTTCTCTGTTAAAATTAGTTAAAAATTTTCTCGATTTACTATAGCTTTTAAAAATTAAAGAATAATTTGTTAAATATTTTTATTTACATTTACTTAATTTTTATCTATATTATAATATAAATTGTAAATTTTAATATAATAAATTATACAGATTTTGCTTTTCTAATTTTTCTATTCAAATTTTTTTTAAAGTGACTTAAATTATATATAAATGATTTTACACGCAAAATGTTATGTACCTTTGCTTTACGGATGTTTTCATCATGCTGTAAGCTGTAAATTGTTACTACATTGAAGTGTTAGACATTTTAAAAGAGTTCGGTGCAGAATTTGTGGTAGGAGCTGAAGATATGAATCTAGTTTGATTGTGAGTGTGCATGATTGTTATTTGATAATGCAAAATATAGTTTCAGATTGCTGCTGTATTAAAAATATATTTACATTTTATTTTTATTTAAATATATAGCTTTAAGAATTAATACATAATGAAGTATTTTGCTCTTTTTTTTTAAAGGAATATTTGACAACTAATTTTTCTTTTATAACTTTCAAACAATGATATTCCTAATTTATAATCTTATCCAATACGTGTGAGCAATTCAGTTTAGGCCATTCATTTATGTTCTATTTTGATGATTGTTCTCCTAGACAAATAATTAAATGGAAAAAAAATTTCAAAAATTTATATTTTACATCATTTAATGTGAAGATGTACGCAAGTGCCATATATATTTCCTTATTATTCGAATTAATTGGCTCCTTTTCAACTTCTTTTAATAATTTGTGACTTTTTCCTTGGTAGTGTTTATAAATTATATTTATATAAATTTAATTATTTATATAATTTTATATCAGAAAGTTACTTAAATATCGCTTAAATGGATGCAATCTGGAGCTATTTCATGTGTGTTTGGTTGGCTGATAGGAGTATGGATGTATGCGAATTGTCAGCTTTGTTTTTCTCTAATGATTTTCATTTGCAGTGGATGATCGGGGGTGAGAATCCCATTGGTAGCGGTAGCCTGATGCATTCAGCGCTTCAGCAGCGAAGGTGCTGAAGCCCACTGGCTCCTTTATTTCCAAATACTGGGGGTTTTATGGCCTGCTTTGGATTGGTGCAGTTACGATGAGTGTCCTCATAATAATTAGTTCACAGTAATTTGATTTACATCTTTGCCTGTTATGTTCTTGTCTTAAGTGTAAAAATAGTACATTTTAAAGATCTTGTCTTCGATTAAATTTTAGATTTATATTCAATAAAAAATAGTGTGTACATTAAATTTTTTTAAAATTTAGCTAGAGTTTTAGGTATTGATGGCTATTTGGTTGTAAATTATAAATATAAGGATCAAATAGCTATATTCGTTTTAAAATACCCGTTCCTAAATAAGGAAAATAATTTTTAGTGTTCTTCCTATAAAGAATTGTTGCTAACAGTGCATTTTTTCATTTTGTGGCAATTCCATTTCAAATTTTGGTTATTATTGAGCTTGTATTTTAGAATTATCATTTTAAATTTTATTAATTTTTGTTAGTTTTTCTTTCTTTTAAATTTTATATAGTGGTGCTATTGTTAAATTTTATTAGAAGTATTAATGATATTTTAAAGAATTTATATGGATAAACTACATTTTCGGTTTTGCACTTGTATATGGATTTAGGAAAGATAGTTATCTTTAAGAGTTTAATGTTAAATAGCAATCAAATTGAATTGATCAATCGAATTAAATTAAAACCCTTAAACTTATTCTTATCATAAATTTCAAGAAAAATGTCATGATATTACTAATTCATATTCCTTTGATATTTTTGTTGTAATAGTTAAAAATAAAAGAATCTTAAAATTTTATGCCTTTGTTATAAGCATGATTAGCAAAAATTATGATTGTTTTTAAAATTTACCTTAAAGCATCTTATGAAATGTACTGATGATGCTTTTATTTAAAAGCTATTTAACTAAAATAGTTAATAATTCCTACTTGAAAAGTTAAATTTACTTTATTATTACATACTTATTACTAAATAAATAGAATCATAGTTATTTCTTTTAAGCTTATAACATCTTACAAAATTTTAAAGTAGGGATGTAACAAATATTTGGCCAAGTATTTTTTTTATAAAGCATTTTTTTTATAAAGCATTTTTTGACAGTTTTTTTTAAAATTTTAGTAGATTTAATAAAGTACTTTTTTAAATAATATTTTTTTATTAATTACTAAAATATTTTTTTTTTACTATACATTATTAGAAATTGTTTTTACACATATTTGTTAAGTTCTAAAACTTGCACACAGCTAGCAAATTTCTGTTCTGCAAGATGAATGGTAAAGTAAAATTTGAAGAATTGGAAACTAGATTACTTTGTACTGAATGTCTAGTTTTGTGGTTCTGGTTATATTAAAATAAATCAATCTCATTTTTTCAACAATTTTTGTTTTAAGAATTAAAAACGTTTTTTTTTCTTTCGTTTTTGGAGTTTTTCTGTTTTTATTAAAGCACAAAATTTTTACAGAGCGTTTCTGGTCACTTTTTTCCTATAGGGTAAGACTCAACTGGATTTTCAAAGTTAAACTATATTTTAAGAACTATGAACAATTTTTTTTGTTTCTCTTTTTCTTTTTATTAGCTTTTTTTTATCAGCGTATTTATTATGCCATAGTATGTTTTAAGGAGCGTTTTTAATGAACGTTATTTTATCAGAACTTTTTTTCTAAAAATATGGCAAAGTGAAAAAGTTAAATTTAAATTTTTGGCGTTAAATTTTTTGTTTAAAAATTAAGAACTATTTTGATTTATATCAAGTGTTTTTTTATATACTTTTTTTATTGATGTTTTCATATAATAGTTGGAAATACAATAATTGGAAAACGAGGTGTTCAAATTTAAAATTATTTTTTAGCACGTATCAATTTATATTCTTTCTGTTTCATTTTTGGATGTAATCTTTTGTTTTTATGATATGCATTTTGAAAGTGTTTCTGATAGACTATATTTATTTTATTATTTTATGGAACTTTTTTTTTTATGGAAAATATTTTGGCATTAAAGTTTTATTTTAAGCATTCAGAGGATTTTTTTTCTACTTTTTTTCCACTTCAGCTTTATATATATATATATATAGCTGTTAGTAAGTTTTTCATTGATCTTAAGTATTTATAATGAATTAATGTCATAGGTTCCTTCCTTTTACCCCCATATCAATAATATAGTATAGTTTATATTAATTTTCAACAGTGACTAAATATATATGTAAAAAATATAAATTATTTTTTTAAAACTCTCATTATTCGGCCGTTTTATTTTAAACCAAATCTTTGCTATTCGGCCAAATCACTATTCATTATATCTCTATTTTAAAGACATGAAGGCAATTTGTCAATAAGATATCCAGAGACGAGTTATTTAGTTTAGATAAGAAAACCTTATTGAATTATTGAAAAACTTTTTAAGGTACTCTGGGTAGTTTAATTTTCCCCCATTATTATTGTACAGTAACTACATGTTTAATAAATTTTAAAGGCATTTGTGTTTAAAACGGGTAGGTATAATTGAATCAGAAAGCTTTATGCCACTTTTAGTCTTTTATTTATTAATTTTTATATTTTTAGTTTATTTGCAATATACTGTATCCCCCGCTATTTATTTAACTGAAAAAGAAAATCATGAATTCATGATCAATGAAAATGAAAATAGATTTTAAGAAAAACTCAAATCCAATAGAATATTTTTATAAATTATGCTGTAAAAAAAATATTTCAGACTTACTAATTTTTAAAAAAAAATGCAGTTGGTTTGTATAATTTTTTTTTTTAAATTAATAATTTTATCAAGTGACTTAAATCATGCTATCCTTGGTTATAAATTATATGGTTTTATTGGTGAATTTTTATATAGCAATCTTTCAATGAATGATTTAATATATCACACGTTGTATATCTCACTCATGCATTAAAAAGGATTTAAAGAGCTTATTATAAATATACAAAAAACAAAAAATAATTTTGAGGAAAATTTAAGAGTCTATAATTATTTAGCTTTCAATTATGTGGTAATTACTTATTTAATTATTTGTTGATCCTTCAAGTCTATCAGTGCTGGAAATTTTTTTATGCTCTACCTTTAATTTTGGTGGTAATAACAAATAAAATTTTTTTGCATTTAAAGAAAGTTTCATTTTATTGATGCTCTTTATTTTTTACATTAAAATAAAATGAAATAATGTTTATTCAAACTGATTCAGTGTAACAATAATCTGAATTAATATATTTTTAAATAAGTATGATAATAATTAGCTCAAGTTGAAATGTTGCTTTGCAACTACTTTTAAGTTACTGTCTTTTAATAACTTTATATGCCTTATTCCACTTTTTCATATCTATATAGTGAAAGATAAATAAACATCTCTTGAGATTTATTGTTTATTTTAAAAGATTCTACTTACAATTTAAAGCTTATCTCATAAAAGATAATGCATTAAAACTTATTTAAGACAGTGCTCCCTAACCTTTTTTATGTAACAAACAAGTCAACGTTTGATAATTTTATCACTTCCCATTGACGGAGAGGAGCGAGCCTTAATTGTTTATAATTTAGATGGTTTTCATTTTATACTTTTAATTGTATTTAAACATTCCTTATAAACAAAATACAGTTATACGCGAGGAATGGGTGCTGACTTAGGTGACAAATCTTAGTTTTAAGTTTATCTCAGATTAAGTTTTATTTCAGCTCCCAGTTAACCTTGTGTCCATAAAAAATTGTACAAACCAGAGAGAACTACACCACAGTAAATAAAATGGAAATAATTTAATGTTCCTTGAGCGGCCTAGTACCATTTGTCCTACAGGCTGGTACCGGTCCGCAGCCCAGGGGTAGGGGACCACTTGTTTAAGAGGAACGCTTTCTGAGAGCAAATGCTCTGCTGTTATTCTGAAATACTGTTAAACAGATTTATGAAAAGTTTAAAATATGAAACATGATATATTATTGCCCTCCTAATCTAAAGTTTTTCTTATAGCAAAGTAACTTTTCCTCTTAAAGAAATTTAATTTAGTTTAGTTCACGTAAGTCACAAAGTTAATTTCAATAAGTTTTTAGCTTAACCAGCGAAGTTAGAAAAATATTACATTTTTGTCTGTCATAAATAATTCGTGTCAAGACTTTTTTTTTGTTATTAGTTATTATTAAAGTGTACTTTTATGAGTGGTGGTTAGAATTAAAGTATACTATAAATATTTTTTTTGTATAAATACCAATGCACAATTTGCCGTCCACAATCTCGGTCCATACATGATTTCTAGATGATATGCAACTAAAAATAACAAATTCACCATATTAACCCTAATCAGATTTGCTTGAGTAACCATTGTCTTCATAATTTTGAATTTAATCGCATAATATTTCGTCAAAAAAATAAATGGAAAATTCTATATAGTTTGTCTGCTGGTAACCAGCACATTCGTAATTTTTTAAATGTATATTTCATCTGTAATGTTAGTAAAAAATTCATTAAGATTTTGTAAAGCCATCTTTGGATGACAGTATTATTTTACTAAACATCAACGCTATGTACATATATGTGGGTATACAATATATGTATATTCATTCATTGATAAAGTATGATTTATTGATAAGTTTAAAATTCTTTAAATAATAGTTTTATCTATGAAGAGTTATTTCATGAAGTTTAATATTCTTTAAACTTCATGAAATAACTCTTCATAGATGTGAAGTTAACTTTCATCTTTATATTTATGTAATTTTAATGTAACTGTGACTAATGAGTTTGTTTTTTGAACTTTAAATGAGTTTTAAAGCAAGATAATAAATAAATCTACAGACTGAACAAAATATTGTTTTCAAATTAATGTGACCGAAGTCAGAAATATTTTACTTTTAGTTTTTCATTACTCTTTATGTGATTTAGATGTGAAAAAGGTAAAGAAATTTATTTAGTTGCAAAAGATTTGCTTAAAATAAAAGATTATTGAATATATTTAATTTTATAAATTAAAAGAATCACAATATTTGTATTGGTAACAATTAACTAGAGTTACTAGAGAGGATATAATTTTTAATATACAATAGCATTTTTATTCATTCTCTTTTTTTAAAAAAAAAATTAAAGTTCATGTATTCAAATACTTCATTAATTTTACTAGTCAATTCTAGCTCTTATTTAACTAATCATTAATTAATTATTTTTTCTGGCAGAAGTTTCTTTTAATTAGAGTTTCCAATTGTACCATTCACTTCATTATCCATTCAGATTCAGTAGTTTAATTTATTTTAATATTTTTGTTTAAAATTAAATTCTGTACTAAAGCATTTTAACATTAGACTTTAAGTGTAGCCTTTACAGTGCTGATTCTAAATTATTGTATAATTATTTATTACCTTTCATGCACCACAGCTATTTCAATTTTTATATTTTTTGTTTCTTTTTTTTCCTTTTTTTAGAAGTCGAAGTGGTCCAGTATCATTTTGGAAAGCTCCACTGTGTGTAAAGTCTTTAAAGTATTTGTCTCGAATAGCTGTCCGCAAATCTGTGGGTGCAGAAAGCGTACCTGAACTCTGCATTCCTAAATCTCTAGTCGAGTATTTGTTGTACAAGGAATGGGAGTGAGTTTTACTAGTCCAAGAAAGATCTTCCTTTCATTGTATATCATGCCCAAACATTTTTTATTGATGAAAGAAAATGCCCATCTCTTTGTATCAAGATGTTACCTTTTTTGTATACATTTTAATTTACTAACATGGATATTTTTTACTTTGTTTTTATTTTCGTGAGTTAAGTCTGGATGTCCTTACAAAAAGTAATTAAAAAATCGGCATAAGTACTCTTAAAAGAGTGTTTAATCGTGAACAAAATCTGTATGTCATTGAAAATAGTCTTAAAAAATATATTTTTTAAGAAATCTGGTCATTGTTTTAATTAGAAAAATATATATTATATGTTTAAATCATAAATCATTATGTTTGAAATTTTTTTTGAAAGGATATAAAGATTATTCAAAAGAAAAAATTTAGAGACTTCTGATATTTCATTTCAGCAAAAGGACATTGAATTTCTAAGAAAATGAATAAATATAACGTTAAAAATATTTAAAAAGTTAATTAAGAATGCTTAAGACGTGTTTATGAAATTTTCACCATTCAGGCATTCATTGATAATTCAGGCAATAAAATTATGAGCAGTTTACTTTTTTTTTTGAAACTCAAAGTCCAATTGTGATTTTAAGTGATTGTGCATTGAAGTAAAGTTTGCTAATATTTTAAGTTTTCATTTTATTTATATTCATATTTTAAACCATTAGAAAATGTGTTCATTCAGTTTCAACATCTTAGTCATTGTTATAGTTCTTATAGATAGATTTTTAGAAAAAATAAATTTTTATTTCATATAATATTCAATTTATTCCATTTAAATATCTTTGGTAACTCTTTGTTGCTTGTATGATTAAATATCATTGGAGTTATGTCTGGGAAATATGTTACTTAAAAGTGAGTGACTATTATTTTTTCTATTTACGTCTGATCTTAACACTTCAATGTGATGTTTTTTTTAAATTATATTTTTATAAATTTAGTTAGGTATACTATGCTAAAAATGTTGTTTATTATATTGGAAAACGATTGTTTTAAATAAATTAAAATTGCTGTTAAAAGTTTTTTTTAATTATTATTATTCCTTAATTGGATATCAATTATTTGCTACTTAGTTTACGCATTTTGCTTATGTGTTGTGATCAAAATAGAGCTTGTTAGGGAAGAGAAAAAAAAATACAAATATTGATTTATTTACTTTTCTAATCATAAGGTACTGTGATTTCTTGAATTCTAATTTTGATGATACTCGCTCAGTTTGTCAATATTAAATTTTTTACACTATAACAGTACATTCAGATACTAGTTTAAGATGAAACAATTTTGATTAATACCTTAAATCTGATAGTTATAATTTAAAATATTTGGTGCAAAAATTTTTTGCTTTACAGTTTTTATTTCATTTTAACTTTATTGTCAAGGATTTCAATATTATATTGCATGGTCCTAACTTTTGAGTAGAGAATGAAATTAAAGTTGATACATATGCCAGGTACTGTAAATATACTCCATATGTCTTCCAATTGTATTGATATTTGTCCACATTGTTTTGAGATTTTAGTCTGCCTAATTCTCTCTAGATGAGCACTTTTCCTGCTGTTACTAGCATTGTTCCAGCACCAAATAGCTAATGTTGCTCATTGTTTTTTTTTAGATTAATTGTGTGGGATTTGTTTTTATATCTGAGCTTTTTAAATTTACACTTTTTTTTCTTGTGTCAAATATACTTAATATTTTAAAAAATAAAAATTTGTTCCAATAATTGTCTGGATTTATTTATCTGTATTTATTTATTTTTGTACAATTTTCAGAGTGATACTCATATTTTATTTAATTTTTTTATAATCTCTATGTTAAGGGCAGTTTTTTTTTTTTTTACTTTTTCACCAGAGGACTTTGAAAACTGCTTGGAAATTACGATTTTTGTCTTTTTTTAAAATTTATACATATATTTTTAAAATAATACTGAGTAAAAAAATTTTTGTTGCAAAATTGAATGCAAAAACTTCGCATTGCCTAATTTGGGTTTTGGGATTTTAAATCTCGAATCAGCGATACAAAGTATCAAGATCAGTTAAAGAATCACGTTCAGCAGAAGACTAAAAAAGAATATTTGTTACCCATTATTATTTATTTCAAGTAGAAAATATTGAAATATGAATTTGGTTACAACTGGGAAAGATCACAAATGGTATGGTGCAGTGTGCTGAAGTAAATAGTGAATAACTTCTGCTCATTGATTGGATTTTCGCGTATTACGATTCATTAAAACTTGTGAAGTGATTCGGAAATTTTTTGCTCATTTTAATATTCATCAATCCAAAGATAATTCTATGTAAAAAATGATCTTTTACCATTATTTAATATTTATTTTATTTAATAGTCAAAAAAATTTAAATTGTAATTCATGCAAATTTTTACATAATTTTAAAGAACATAATTTTAAATGACAAAATAGAACATTTGAGAATGTTCCTGATATATAAAATTTTTAAATGTGATTTTGAGAAATTCAACTTCTCAGGAACAATTCTGCTGATTCCGTTCAAATTTTGTATGCTTTAAAATGTTAAAAAAAAAAAAAATTATGCCTTACAATTGAAATTTTTCTAGACTACTATTAAATAAAAAAAATAATCAATGCATAATTATTAAAAGATATTGTTAACACGGAATTAATTATCATGGGCTAAACAAATTTTATAATTGTTATGCAAATCTATTTTCGATTCGCTTAAAGTATCTTCTAAATGTAGCAAAATATTCAAAAAGTGAATTAACATTAAGCAGTCCAAACTTTTGTCTGCTCTCTTGCTTTTATTATTGGGACTATATTTAGATTGCAGCTACTATTTTGAGAGCCACGAATCCAAATCCATCGAGGAAAAGGTACGTTTATTCAGAATATAATAAAAGTTGATCCAGAAGTGATAATTAATTATCACATTAAGATCAAAATTTATTCTGGATGTTCACTTTTTATTTTGAGGTCTGTACAATTGGGTGTATTTTAAGATTAAAATATCGCTTGCACTGATTAATTAGCACATTTAAGGTTAGGCCCTCCGACCGTTAAGTCTCAGTACGAAGTACGTGAAAATCATATTAGATCAAAATTTATTCAGGATGTTCACTTTTTCTTTTGCGTTCTGTACAATTGTGTACATTTTAAGTTCTTGAATTCAAATATGTAATTTATTTTGAGACCATTTTAGGTGCTATTATTCAGCTACTAAAACAACATTCAATGATAGGACTAAAGAGTTATCCTCAAAAAGCATGTATCATCAACTAAAATAATTATTAGTCACAAATATAATGTTCTGTCAGCATAGGAAAAAAGACAAGAATTATGACGTATTCTTTAGTTTCTAGTTATTATTTTCAGGTCAAGCAATTTTTGTTTATAAGTAGCCTTGTTCTACGCCAGTTGCATAGATTTTTGAATGTATTTGTTAGGTGTAGATGCTACTACCTGAGGTTTCATTCTGTTAAGTGCCTAGTATTCAAATACTTGAAATTACCTTTTAAGTCAAATTAACCTACTGGTCGTGTTGTCTATGTTCTACCCAATGACTCTCTTACATAATTATTATTACGGTTCCCATCAGATCACCGAAGTCAAGCATCACTGGCTGCGGTCAGTGTGCGGGTGGGTGACCACTTGGATCAGTCTGCGTAGGGACCGAGGGTGTGCGGTATTGGTCCTCGTTAAACTGTGCTACCGTAAAGTGCTCGACTTCACGTGCAGGTCGTCGGGCTACCGAAGCGGGGGTGCCATCCCCTCTGCAGAGGATCAAAATTGTGATGGCATGTCTTCGGATCATCCTCAGGGATGTTTCCCAGACCGTCGCCAATAGCCCATTGTGCAGCTCTAGTGCGACGTAAATGAACTACAACAACAACTTGCATAATTATTTTTAAAAATTTATTTACTAAATAGATTTCACTAAAGTAATCTAAACAGTATTCCATATAATAAGTGATAGGATATTTTCTTCAAATTGACTTTAGTCCACTGTATTAAAATAGCACAGTCCTATGTTGTGAAATTTAAAAATGTTTACAACTCCACATTAGCTGTGCGGTCGAAAGCAACATCGTCAACATATAGGTGCATTTATATCGTGAATTCGGTTTTCGATAAATTTGCTAACACAATTCAGGAAACGATTGTAACTTGTATTAACACCGGGACAGAGCTCCAGTTGAAATTTAAGGACTCCAGCTGGATGAATGGTCGAAATGTTGATCGAGGATGAATTTCTGTAAGCTAAAAATTATTTTTTAAGGTTCAGAAATCTATCGAAGCTTGTATTGCCATATAACACAAAGATTCGGGCGCGATTTCAAGAATCTAGTTAATTTGAAAGGGGTCTGAATTTGTAATTGAAACCGATGTCGATTTGCCGGTAAAAATGACTATAAATCCTGCTTGTAGCGATCTGGAGAAACTCGCATTGTCATGCAGTATGGAGCACAAGTTAAGATAAGACTGTGCTCTAGCTCGTTTGGTAATGATTGGAATTTTGAATCCTCACACCCATGAACGAATCAGTGAACTTCCGTCCTCACAAGTCCCTCAGTGGGCTGATCGTAAAGACACGGTTACCAGTAGAACACCGAAGTCAAACATCACTGGCTGTTGTCAGTAAGCGGGTGGGTGACCACTTTGATCAACTTGTGTAGGGAAGGAGGGTGTGCAGTATCGATCCTCGTTAAACTGTTCTAACGTAAAGTGCTCGTTTTCGCGCTTACGTCGTCGAGCTACCAAAGTCGGGGAATCATCCCCTCTGGTAGAGGATCAAAATTGCGATGGTACGTCTTCGGATCATTCTTAGCGATGTTTCCCAGACCGTCGCCAATAGCCCATTATGCAGCTCTAGTGCGACGTAAATTAACAACAACAACAAGTCTCCTTTTCACTGACTGAGTACTTTTGAAATGATTTCTTTATCAAAATTTGTTTTGATTACTCAGCTGGGTAATATCAAGTTCCGCTTCGTCTCCGACGGAATCTTTAAAAATGATTTCATTTAATCAAAATTTGTTTTGATTACTCATCTCGACAATATCAATTTCCGCTCCCGCTCCGACTGAATACCTTTAAAATGATTTCATTTAATCAAAATTTGTTTTGATTACTCAGTTTGATAATACCAAGTTTACATTTGCTTGCTTTTTTTAAAGTACATTTGCTTTTGGCCTTTTTGAATAAAAAGAAAATCATTTTCAGACAGAAAGTACGCATTAATGGATCCGTCCAAATACAATGAACCCACAAATCGGAAAACTCTGTAGTGAAAGTGGTCATAAACTTTTCTCAAGTTTGCTTAAAATTTCATTAAATTAACTTTCAATTTCACATTATAAAATCATTTTAAAGTTTCCACACCACAATAAACGAAATAATGGGGCATCCCTGGCCAGCAATACCATACGCCAAACGCTGTGCTAAGTGTGAAGGTAGCGGGTTCGAATCCCGCTGTTATCCTGGATGTATCTTTGTGGTGTCTGTCCTATTTGACGAAGTTTATGAACCTTAATTGAGCGCACAAGGCTATAAATGTATGTTGTACCAAGGAATAAAATAAAACGAAATAAAAAATATATTTTCAGCTAATATGACTACTTTAAAGTAATTTTAAGATTTAGCTGTCACTTCAAAACAATGTTCCAACCGTTCATAGTCAAAATATATCAGGCCCGAAGAGGTTTTTACCATTATTCCAGTTGTCCTAGGACAGGGATGGGCAAACTACGGCCCGCTGGCAAACTGTGGCCCGTCGGAAGGTTTTGTCAGACCACCGGATAGAATTTTAAATTGCCAATCCGTAGCGAATATAAACAAGATACATTACACATCCATTATTTTGTCTGCTTTGTTTAAAGCTATTTTTGTTCTTTCTTTTTTAACTAAGTACTGATGACGTTTTTACTTTCTCTATTGGTGGAATTGATGGAAAGAGTTAGCATAGACAGCTTCAATTAGTAAAATGTTGAAAGCAGAAGTTCTTTACAGAATAACCGTAGATTAGCTCCAACAAGCGTTTGTCTTTCTCGAGGATCAGACATATGGAATCCAACATAAGTGAATTGTGCTTCACATGTGGCAGACAGTGCATTTTAAGCTCCAACGAGCGGATTTTTCTGCTGGTGCGAGTTCCAACATTATTGAGTATGGAAAGATTGCACACTATTGTTGTTTCTAACCATGCCAAAGTTTGAGTTTTGCAACTCATTACCGAAAGCTAGTTTCTCATGCCCAAAAAATGAGTGCTATGTTTGCTTCATCTTATATATGTAAACAAGTGTTTTCAACTACGAACCTTAGAAAAAATCATTTCAGAAGTAGACTAACAGGCAAGCATTTAGCCTCGTTCCTTAAAATAAGCACATCTCCCTTCGAACCTCAATATAAGGAACTTTTAAAAATTAAATCACAATTTCATTCATCTCATTAAATATTTAAATTAAAACTTGTATATCGTTGTTTTTTTATTTTTTATTTTAGAAGTTTTTACTCGGCCCACCAAGCTTTTTTTCTAAATTTTTTACCCTCGACCAAAAAAGTTTGCCCATCCCTGTCCTAGGGCATCATCACAAGTCAGAGAAGCCAATTTGCTCATCTATTTGAAATATTTATTTTCTAATGGTAACGAAATGTAAGTTATTTTAAGCTTTGTATTTTTCATTTTAAGTATTTTTTCTACCAGTGCATATCAAAAATTCAAAGTATCATATAAAATGTAACTCTGT